TCATTTTACCGCTTTAGCTGCAGACTCTACATGGCGACTTTATTTATATATTTATCTATTTCTGCCACATCACACGATAACTTTATTGTGGCATGGTAAAATAATATACATAAAAGTTTCGTATAGGTTTACATAATTAATTTACACCATCTTAATTCCAAATAAGACAAAGTTTGCAAGCACTTTCGAGTGAAAATAAATAAGGAACACCCACGTGCGCCAGACTAACTTAGCGAGACCCCGCATCGTTTATTCACAAAGCGAATGTTAAATTCACACACACAATACTACGGCGCGTAATTAACTACTTTCCCTTGTTACCAAACTGCCGGCTGTTTACCGCAAATGATCGTTTATTTATGGAGCCGTTTCAAAGACTCCATTAACAGATCTTAATACACAGAGATTTCTTTTTTATCGATTCTGTATAACAATAAGGAAATATTTTCGTTTAATAGAATAAAAGTTAACAATTTTAGTAAAAAAGTTATATTATGAAAAAAATTCTTTTACATATTTTTCTCATATAAAGCGAAGTATTCGCGAGATAAAACCACTAATTGCCTACTTGCACTATGGAGTAACTTTGCAAAGCTTTCGTAATCGAGATAAGCTATCATTTTCTAGAACACTTTCCCCGTCAGGAGGAAACACTTATAACCGTCTAATAGATGCTGACAACGAATAAGGATATGGTTAAGTTGAAATTGTCACTAAGTTCTCTGCGGTTAGAAAATGTCGGTGCCACGTAAACATCAATTATTTTTATTGCTCGATCAGACTAGAAACATTCTACTTCCTTTAAAAGTACATTGAGTAAATTATGAAATCAGAAAATAGACTATCAGTTTTATTCTCCCAAAAGACATTTAACGCTATATTTTAACGAAGGAAACCATTAGCCAGTTACTTAACTATCAATAGTTAAGTTATCAAGTAAATTATTTTAGCAACAGTGTTGACAAAAGTTTGCAGAATCGAAGCCTTGAGAGGCAAAAGTGTCTTTTGTTTTACAAAAAAGGTGACCAATATCAATCTTATTATATAAATAAATGGTAGATAAGTAAAATGTAAACATCGTGAGAGTCGCATTAATATCAGTATCTCGAGTCATTAAATATTTTAATTAATATAATTTTAATTCAGCCAATATATAACTTTGCCCATAAACTAACCGAGTGTCCGACATATTAATTGTCAAGTCATCACTTAAGTTACGTCACATAATTCACGTTATTCGAATTGTATTAATTTTATATTCATTACTGGTAATGGTATTATCGAAGTTTCCATTAAAAAGTAACTCAACTTACGCAACATTCAATATCGTACCGTATGAAACTTATTAAAAACACAACAAAGCAATTTTGTAATCATTACTTTGAACAAGAGATACTGTCTATCATCAACACAGGTGATGACGGGTGTCAGACTACGTAACAATTATGGATTGCATATCAGACAGGCCAATAATATTAGGTGTATATAAATTAAATTTATTTTTATATAATACATTGAATTTTTCTGCGCATTCTAAAATCATCATTTAATCATCCATCGATTGTTTTTAATTTATTTTGAAATACAAATCGAATAACTCAAGTTATCTTAAAGCCCGAAAAAGTTTCGGATTGGACGAGGGCAGAATATATAAAAGTGATATAATATTATATTTTAGACAAATATGAAACTTTCGTATACAAACACGTGGTTAAAATATCGAAAATGAAGAATTAAAATAATTAAATGAGATTTTCAGAGATAAATATCTTCGCAACTTAAGAAGAAGCCGAGGAAATGTCCGGAGAAAACAGCGAAATGCTGTTTTACAATTATAACAATGATGTTAATTCTCTCTGAAGTTCAACATTAAAATGAAAATTTTACACGAAATATTATTTTTAATTCTAAGTCAGACACAGACAAAATCACATACGACAAGCGATAAAACTTAGATTTAAGTATTGATTACTTAAATTATTTAGAAACAGTGAATACACTGCCAAGTTCAATAAAATGTTAATGGGGAAAACAAAGAAACATCCTGTAAGAGGCGTATAAAAGTTAAGTTATACCGCATAGTAAAGTTTTAATGGAAAAAGTTTCAAACGGCCTCTGGCAGTTTTATTAATTCATGCCGCCATGTTGTTCGCTCGCATTGCACTCAGTTATTATTAGCTTAGTGGTCACGGTGACTGGATAATAAGGTCCGAGTTCGTGCTCGATTCCCAAGACCATAAAATGTTGAACCAAGCAAATGATGACTATAGATAGAAAACTACGGAAATTTTATAAAAATCAAATAACGAATAGTGCAGAGTGTGCATTGCTTATGTGCAAGAAACAAAGTAATTTATATAAGCAAGCAGTACAACATTAAAACCCACCATTCTCATGTTCTTGGGTGGAAAACAAACTTTTTTCATGGTGCGCCCCTTTCGTCCAGTCAACGGCACTGCATCCATATTTATTAATCACCAGTCGCATTACTAAGGTAAAGCTACATTACGACTTTGTTATACACTGATGTTACTACGTTACAAAATTCAGTTGAAAAATATACTCTTTCAATCTACGTTGTCGGCACCACACTAATGAAAGCACAGCCATTTTAATATTACCTAACGAATTATAATTAAAATAACTGTACTTAGAAAGGTCGCAAAACAGCAACTGTTTCGCAACACGGGCGGCTTAAACTGAACTTCGAATACCAAAGGACTGGATAATTTTGCGACGAACACGCGATTCGTGGGCACATACATAAATTTAAGTCGATATCGATGGTTCGCGAAACTATCATTGGCTGTATTATCCATTTGTGCTATAAATCTCGATCGACGTTATTTTACAAGGCCTGCCTTTAGTGCAGGACGTTGGAAGTGATAAGACAAGGCGAACGGCATACCGGCGACACTTGGGAAATAGGAGCCGATCAGTCGTCGAGTGCACGACAAATATTTTATTACAAACTTTACACTAAGAATACATGTGTGATTGTAAAACGTGACTGGGAACTATACTAATCACTTGTTCAAATTATTGGTCGATTACCATGAACATCTTTGTTTATTATAACTTTAGTTGTATGTCAATGTAGAAATAATATTAAAAAATATCCAGACAGTAAATCATTTTCAATTTATCACATTCAAAATTTCATATAAGCTAACAAAATTTTGTGATATAGAACAGCCATATAACCGCAACTATGGCACAGTTCACGCGAGCGCCAGGCGGCTCCTGGTACCCTGGTACGACGCGCAATTTCGCCTTCAACATGCAACCTCAGAGCTATTAAAAAACCATATCTAGTATCTACTAAAAAAAAAGTATAAAATACCTAGATAAGGTAAACTATTTCTTTTAAAACAAATTACAAATTAAATTCGCCCTAATGCCTAATTTCTAGTGATAGAGATAAGCTACCTTTATTAAGTACTTTGGGAATTTTATGTTATAAGATGATAAACGAGCTAGCGGGCACCTGAATTTGTCGAAAAAGCAAATCAACTTCTGCCCATAGACATAAGCAATGGTAGAAGCATGCCTCACTTCGATCACTGGAGGAGGGGATGTGTAGAAAGAGCACATTTTCCCTTTTTAGGCATCCCACATAAAAATTACTTCCTTTTTTATTCTTCAAACCAGCATGCAAGACCAGCCTTTAGCTCTTAATAACATAGCCTAGGCATTTAAGTAATACCATATAATCAAGATAATAATTCTCAGTTTTCAAGATAAAGATTAAAGGAACAAAATCTCAGCATAATGACAATAATATGTGAGCAAAACACTATTACACAGAACAGTTAATACCCATGACTTGTTGTTTGTTGCGCTAATTAAATTGTGTCAAAAAGCTGCCCTAGATCGCATTGTGTGGTCGTGGGATTGAGACACTACTTTTATTGTTCATAGGCTCCACATATTGACTAAATAGAAATGATAAACAATGGGTTTCAGATCTTTTTGCAACTATAATCAAACATCATAAAATCAGGGAAAAAATACATGCCTTGCGCAATCCATTTGGGGTTTATTTAAAATGATTTTAGATTTATGTTTTGGTACATTATCCATTTTTATATGAATTCATTAAATATTCTAGAAAATCATTCCTTATGTGATAATAATAGACTGAAATTTTACTCTGTCACAAGTAGTATGTAAAAGTTACTAATTTAAACATACCAATAATTATTTAATAGTACATAAGATTACAAACCTATTTGATTTGTTTACGTTTGAATTGATTGAATAGATTGAATAGACATAAATTTTTATTTTCTATTTATACAATTTATTGTTAAACATGCATCATATCATACATGGGAACAAAATGCTCTCTTTTATAAGGGAACAGCTCAAAATTATTTAAATGTTATGAGTGATGTGTTCATTAATTTTTTTTATTTCCTATGCCTTCTTGTTACTGCAGTGTTTGCTCAAAGACATTTAATGGCAACAACAACATGACAAACTAGGGACCTCAGAAGCTTAACTTTAGTACTGCAAGTAATCCTTGATTTAAGTTTCAAGTTGGTTTAGGCTAAACATCATACCAAAGTTAATTCAGCTTATGGAATAAGACACCAAGTTTCACAAGAGTAAACTATTGTTAACGAAGGTTGTTGCTTCTTGCTTCATGTTTACCTTCACTAAAATTGTGTATGAGTAATGTAAAACTTGCTCAAATTCATTATTTCTTTAACCAAAATAATGATCATAATTAATGACCTAAATTGACTTCCTAATAAATGTTAAATTCAGTCCTATGGGTTATGAAATTAAAAGTATATTCATGTAAAGATACTGGCCTTGTTTTTGACGTGTTATAACTTATAAAACTTTCTAAGATAAATAATGCTATTATTTGCACAGCTAAAACAATAGTTTACTGTTTATTTTGCTTATATTAATCCATAAATAGATTTTTTTAATATAATTTTAATGAAATACTCTAATCTAATCTCTGTAAAGCTACAAAATAAACTTACCACATTGTTATAGTTGAAGGCTGCAGCTCCTGAAGCGTAAAACTCCCTGTTCAATTTATCGCTCATTATGTTTTGGCGCGAAACACTTGTATCTTAAATTGAATTCCACATAAAACAACATTATATCTTCAATAAAAACACGAATCCTTCTTATAATAAAATAAGAATTCCACGAACATGGGGAGCGTCCGAACTAACATTTCGATGCTAAAGTCAGTACACCATCTATTACATATAATATCTAACATAAAGATTACTGTAGATAAATTTATAATTATTTAGCGACTTATCTTAATTATTTTTATTTATTTTAAAGGTTTTTAATGTAATATCACCATCAGATTATTTTCACTTGACACTTTACCTTGACATATAATATGAACCATAAACGACTGTCACAGACAACAAAAATTTACAATAAAAAAAGCGTTCGGATACTTGCAACGTCAAAAGGGCTAGCAACTAAAATTATTTTTGTTTTCCGAATTAATTTGTAATTCGTCACTTCTTTCTTGTCTACATCATGCTTGAATCAATTCATTCATAAAATTTCCCTCATACTCCACCTCCACTCGATCCTTTTAATAACATGCCCATTTCATGCAAACCTTTTAATGCTCGATATCGTTCGTGTTCGCAACTTTTCCGCTAAATGACTTTAAATGTTACGCATATTTTAGGTAGTTATTAAAATATGAAGTAAATCTAAAATTATATATATTTTCCTTAAATTGTTATAAACAAATCACAGTATGTCTTTTAATACACCATATGTGTAAATATTATTTCTTTTCACCATTAAGTCTTGTCATGCATTTGTAAATATATTTTTGAATGCCATCCGATCCCATACGTTCTTCTATGATTTTTAAAGATAAGGTGAAGACCTCCCATGCTAAGTCCTCGTCCCGAGAGAGTTCAGAAGGAGCACAATAGTAGCAGTTATTGAAATATAATCCAGTTACATGATCTAATTCACTTGCTACTGCTGTATAGACTGTTGTTGCTGCTGCTTGTTGCTAGAATAAAACAGTGTTCCATTAAAACAAAAAACCTTCAAAACACAATAACTTATACCTAAAATTTAGTGTGTCAGTCTTACCATTGACTTTGTAAATGGCCTAACAATGAAGAACAAAAGCCTAAATAACCACCAGGATTTACTAAGATTAGTGTAGACCATGTTCCCTGGGTGAAGAGAGTTTACACATATTTGTTTATCCCGCCATTCTTCACTTAAAATCTGAAAAATTCAAAATCTAATTATTTTTGTGGGTAATTGTTTGAACACAGCAGATTGGCATTAGCAACTTTTTCATAGTACTGTATGTGTAATAAATATTTGACCGCAATCTAAACTAATAAAATTATAAAAAGAAAAGATTTGAATTTTTATATGTAACAAAGAAAGCTCAAATACTCCCAGACTCATTTAAAACTTTTTCTATTTAAACTCCGCATGATAACATCTCAGGTAAAAGCTAAAGTTAATAATATGATATCAATGTTTGAAGATGATAAAGACTTACCTTAGCTATCATAACCATATATAATTTGGAATTGTTATATGCCATCATAGAACTATATGAATCTCTGGTCATTGCAACATTCTGCTGAGTAAATACATTTTGCAATGAGGCAAATCTAAAAATAAAATCAAAATGCATTCAGAACTGTACATGTTACAGGCAATAATTAACTATTTTTTTTTATTCACAAATATGTTTCATCAACCAAACATATGACCCCATATTATGATCAATAATATGAAACAAAAACAAAAGGTTTTATGGAAGAACATAACGAAACTGGTAACAATTGATTCAAAACTAAGTGTAAACAATAGATTAAGTACCTAAGCGTGACACTCACCTATGAGATTCTGAAGATACAAAAATAACTCTAGTGCCTTTCTTCAACAATGGTTCCAGTAACAGAGTAAAGTATAGATGAGCTAAATAATTAACTTGGAATGTAGTTTCTAGTTTATCAATGGTTTCTGTGTATGGCAATCCAAATACTGCTGCATTCAATATTAATATGTCCAGATAACTAAAAAATCATTAACATGTAATATAACTAAGAGTTCAATTTCTTTCACATATAGAGGTCTTCACTTTGTTCTTTGCGACCAGATATTGCCACTCGCACATGGAGGTTTCTTGCTTATCAAGGTGCAACTAACACATTATATGAGTAAATTTGAGTTATTCATTTCTTTAGGAAATTGTTTCTAAATTGTAACTCAAAAACAACTACTATTTATGATTATGTAAATTAAATGTTGTCTTTAATATAACATGTTAAATCAAGAAATTAAAGAAAGGAATTTACTTATAACATACTCTGAAAAAATAGTCTTCACAGTCATCGCACATTTTTTCACACTCTCCAATGAGGCTAAATCTAAATGAATAGATTTTAGATTATCCTCTGATGCATTGGTTTCTTTGACAATGTCAGCTATTGCTTTTTTAGTAGCTTCCATGTTGCGGTTTGCCATTAGAATGTTACAACCATGCCTTGCCAGTGATTTAGCAGTTTCATATCCTATTCCAGCATTACAGCCAGTGATTAAGGCAAATTTCCCAGATAAGTCTATTCCATGTAGAACCTGAAAAAATAATCGGATGTTATTAGTTTAGTTTAGCTTGGATAACTGTGTGTCCTCTGTCTATAATTAAAAATGTAAGTTCTGTTAATCTCCATTTGTTTAAGTTTAAAGTGTGTAGTAAAAATTGAGATACCTGAAATGCAGTAGTAGATGAATCAAATCTTTGACGAAAATCATTAACATGCTTCTTTTCTTCAGTGGCAAATGCTAACCGGGGATCTACATACGTTTTGTTACCGGTTTCTTGCTGCACGTACAAAGTTTTGCCAGTTTCGTCGACAGTTTTTGTCCAACCAAATGGTAAATCTTGTGGAATAATTTTCTTTCGGCCAGTTCTGGGATGAGTCCATTGGATTTTATTTGTGCCAGAACTGTAATAACGTATTCTTATAATAAACAAGCTTACAATTAAATATGAATAATAATAATGATACAAACTTGACAAAGTAAACATTTCCATCGTCAGTTGACTTTTCTACCCAGCCAGGAGGAAGTTCATCTTCACTGTCTGAATCGAGATTATGCATATTGTGTGTATGAAAGTTTGTACACCCTGTTCCTAGTTATTGTTTTGAATGCCGATAAATCACCTATAAACTAAACTGCTAAACACCACTATAAAGAGTATAAAAGTAGGATATATAGTTTTAGTGGTGTCAAGTGTCAAAGTCAATGCCAGATGATGACAGGCATGTCATATTATGTCAAGTCAAATACCAGACTATAAAAAAAAGAAAAAAAAAAAAGAACAGAGAATACACAAGTATTTTTTTTTAGTATAAATTACAAATGAGGAAGTGGCCTCGTAAATTCGGCACAACAGCGAAGTGACTGTTGCCCTTTAACTTCTGTGTTTGCAAATGCATTGCCTACCTTTTCGTTGACGGAGAAGGGGTACCGAAAGACTATGTTTCCCCTAAAAGAAAAGGGTGGGAAGAGGAACGAGAAGTGAGACGATACGCGAAATTGCTTTACACTTTATTTCATACAAAAATTGTATTATTAACATACTAATTTAAATACGCTTAACAACTAATAATACAGCAAAAACAAGGGTTATAAATTTTTTTAGTTTTAAATGTTAAAAACGGCAGGTTGTAGGTTTTTTTCTGAAATGAACAATGCGTTTAATTATTAACTTAAAATAAAACAAATGAAAAATAATCTTCAACTTAACTGTAATATAACTTATTTTATTTATTACGCAGTACAAAATAATCTTAAAGAACTATTGTTACAACACCAAATGTTATAATTTCGTGATTTCTATGTTTGTTTTGTCGTTTTCCTTGGATTTGTTATTTGGAAGGCAGAACGAGGTAAATGCACAAACTGGAACAAAAAAGGGGAATAGTAAGTTGACCATGGAAAAAAATATATCGACATTCAATGTAACTTACCTATTAACAAACCGCCGAAGATGTAGAAATTAGCCATACAAGCCGTGTTTATAAGTGAGCCGACCAAGTTTGAACCAAAAATCGCTCCCGAACGACCAACCATCATTACCAAACACATTGCCATACCTCTGAAAATTTTATGCTAATTTAAAATTATATTAAAAAAGAAGAGTGATATAGATCAACAATGATGTGTTTGCCGTTGGGTGTAAGTCCAACTAAATTATGACAGCTTACTAGCGCCCTACTGGCAATGTGGAATAGTGTCACAAAGTCTCAATTCTATTTGTACATACTATGGTTGTTGTTGTGTTATGATTTTTTATGCCACTTTCTATTTTTATGCTAGTACTAGCAAATCCTTAAGGTGGCGTACTGGTTATTTTACCTTAGATGTGTAGGAAAAATGTCCGTAGTGTACGCTCCAATAGGTCCGATTGCAAGCGTGGTCATCATCAATGACTGCATGAAAATCACTAGCAGGATTCCATTCTTTACAAAGTTGATTAAAAGGCAACAAATACCGGTGGTTAGAAGAATGAAAGATATCAATATCTTTTTGCTAATAACTTTTACGCTAATGCTAACCGGCAACGCGATGATACTGCATAAACAACACGCTATAAAGCTTATGAGAGAAGTGTTGGTGTCAATAGAGTCGTCACATGTGACATTGCGTATTGAATTCTAGGGAAAGAAAGAGAGAAATATATTTTTAAATTATTCAAAATATTTCATTATAAATAAAAATTCAACTTTTAATAAATTCAAATACAATCAAAATGTAATAAGTTCGCTGGTTATAAATTAGGTGAATAAGAGGTACCTTAGTATCTTCCCAAACTATAACATCACAAGCAGAACTTTCATTCAGACCACCGAATAAAATTATTCTGTTCACAAAGTCAGGGGTCCATATGTAGAGACCACTCAAACTGAAACAAAAAATGATCAGGACGGGCGAAGAGAGCACTATATCCCCATACCCACAATGAGATACTTATAACGGCTGTGCCGATTTTGGAGTTTGACGGGAAGATAGCAATTGTATGCATACTCACTTTGCGTAAACTCCGAAGAGCAAAAAACTATTTAGAGCTATCCACTTAATATATGGAGGCTGCAACAAAGGAGTTGACTGCCTTTTTAATGAAGAGCGAAAACCGTAGCTGTCTGTGTGTCTGTGTGGCTCTCTTTTTAAAGTTTTTATCTAAACAAAAAAATTACAGAACTAATGTATAAACCTGATATAATAAATGTTCCGTAATTAAATATTTGATGTGTGTGATGTCAAATAACTATGCTTATTCTATCGAGGTTCTTTATAACCGTGGATTTACACCTGTCATAATGCAAACTTTATCTTTCTTTTTTATATAGAATGAGAGGAATGTCAATATGATGTGTTTCGGAAGTGGAAACAAGAATACATCATTATTCAAAAGAAAATCGTATCTAGTATAACTAAAACAATATTTAAAAGACTTACAGGATAATCATCTAGTGATTTCTTCTTGTTTTTAGAATATATGATCTTCAATGTATTAAGACTTTCTTCGATTCTATTTTGGGACATGAGGAATTTGGGACTTTCGGGAGCATCATATGCTAAAGTGGCAGCTATGATGAACAGACTTCCAAAAGCCAGACACAATAATCTCCAAGGTCGAAAAAAGTAAATACCAAAATCTAATTTGAAGTCTAAAGACAGAATTCCCAACGCCAATACTAAAACAAAAAAAAAAGTTAACTAATCACTTTAAAAAAAATAATAAAAAATCTAATTGGTCAACTCACAAGGCACTAAAGCAGAACCCATTATTTGCATAGGATTCATAATCGATGCCGCCAAATCTCTATATTTCGGTGGCAAAATCTCAGCAATATAGGTGTACGGAGCGGCTGCAGTGCACGACATACTGAAATAAAAATATAATAAATAGTTATTACACTAAAGACAACGACTCTATAAAAAAAACTTTTCAATTCGTCCAACTGTGTTTCTTTTTCGAATCCAAAGGTAAGGGAGAGTGATAAGAGTGGTAATATTGTGGTAAGGTCTGTGCCAACAGTGTTTTTCAGAATAAAAATTAATATTACGTAAGATACGTAAACATATGTAGTTTAAAATATAAATTAACTTACCACAACGACGAGAGTAGTTTACAAAGAGCAAATGATATTAAATTTGGCGTAAATGCAGATGTTATTGAAAATATACCGGCAAGTAATGAACTGTAAACTAAAGATTTTTTCCTTCCACACGTATCGATAAGATAGCCCCAGGGAAACGACGATGCTAAAATACCTTAAAAATAGAAGCCTTTAATTACCGATATTCAATGATGTTGTTGCAAATCAAGTTTTTAGAAATTCACTATAAAATTTAGGTGAGTCGTTAGTGTGTTAGTGAGTAAGGAAATCGATCGCAAGAATGCCCTGACCTCAGTGGAAATGTACCGTAATTTCAATTCTGACTCGACCTATTAATTACATGACAATGGCTTACTTTCGATACTCTATTTATTATATTCTTTTCTTTGTAAAATATGCCTAATGGTCAAACCTACAATCTTGTAACCATCAATAGCTTTAGGATGTCGATTTATTGCATAATAATAATATAATAAAAGACATTTTAGCTACATTTTTTTTATAAAAAAAAAATGTTTCTGGTACGACCCTAAAACACTTAAAACATTTTGATGCAACTGTTAGGCTATTCTTTGGATATCGTGGATGGTTTCTTAGTAACTTATTTTTTACATTACGTGGCATTGTAATGCAAGAGATATAATGTCGGGTTTAACTAGTATGCATTTACATACCTATGTAAGGTATTGAGGCTATAATCCCTCGCTGCGTTTCACTCATCTGTAGATCACATTTAGCAGCAGGCAAAATAAAGCCATATCCAAATGGTTCTATTGTCGATGTGATTAAGAATAATGCTAGTATCATGCAGTATTTGATATTATAGCAACCAATACCTGAAAATAATCAGTGTTAAAAAAACAATTATTTATACTTTGAGACAAGCCGGCCAATATTTGAATAACACAGGCCGATGATGATAATGGTGTTTTTTATCTATATTAATATTATAATAAAAAAAACTTCCTTTAATTCCACGAGGGCGAAGTTATGGGCAGTTGCTATAGTATACAAAATAGCGTTTGACCCTGATGATCCCACGTGATTTTTAATGATAATGTGTCACCACACGCTACACAATATGTTAAAAAAGTACTCTTGAAGACCAACGACATATTTGGACTTAGACGGAACAATTAGCTAATTTAGTTTTTTTAAGTATTAGAATTGAAGAAAACATCAAAAACATACCGGCTACATCCAAGGCTTGATCTAAGTCTGCTTCATAAATATGTTTTTCCTCTACTCTTCCAGAATTAGTCTTTCCCTTGCATATTCCGAATTTCATTTTAGAAATGAGAGCAGTAAAAATGTTAAATTTAAAGATAGACACAACTGCTTTCCTTTAACACTGTATATTAGTATTAGTTAAAACAGGTTTGCTATCAAATTTTTGAGGTTGAACACCCAATTATTTTAGTAAAATTCATTCACTTACTTTAAAAACTTATTGAAAACTAGAGACAAATTTACAGCTATATTTTATTTATAAGAATCAACTTCATCAGGATCATTCCACATCATGAATGTTTGATATTTCAACACGATATTTGTAAAGTGTGAATGTAATAAATCTTAAATTTTTTAATACGTATTTTTTAGTACTTTTCCAATGGAATATTTTCTTTTCATTTGAAGTAATTAAAGATTAAAATAAAGTACAAAGTAGGTCATTTTAAAAATTAATTTGATACTTTTTTGGATGATTAATTAATTCAGAATTAAAAAAAGGTTGCAAGGACAAAGTAGGTCAATATATAAAATTTTATTCGTAAAAATAATCTTATCCTACACGACTTAAAATACATTTGTACATTTGATTTACGATTTATATGTTTTTAATTACAATTTTGTCGTTATCGCCTCTTTAGTTTGTTTTTTCTTAGATCCCGGCATCAGGAATGATAGCAAACCACAAACTGAAAAAGATACAGATTAAAATAATTATTGTATTATATAATCTTAGTATCAGTTTTTAACATGAAAGAAAGATCTGTTATTTATCCTTGGCAATACGTTAATAGTCATCTTTACTTAGGTAAGTTAGAAGTCATTATGTAGATTTTCAACTTACACATCAGAAATCCTCCGAAGAAATAAAACGTAGCTTCACAAACTGCATTTAACATAGCGCCAGCGACATTAGCTCCGAACACGGATCCTACACGACCTATCATCATTGATAAACTGACGGCCATACCTCTGCAAAGAAATACAAAGTGAAAAATCTTCAGTACGGAATGTAATCTATTAAACGAATTTGAATGTGGCATTTAAACCATTTTCGAGGCATTTAACAACAATAAATGCAAAGTAAAATGTTCTTCGCCTTTACTACTCGGAGCTTTTATAGTAGGTTTCTGAGACCAAAATATCTTGATAAAACATGTCGTCATCGTCATCCGTGTCATTATTTTTGAGAAAAAAGAGATAACAATACGGTTAAACGAAGATCTTGATCTCAGAAACCCACAGTTAGTGATACATAGAGTTGTTTATGATATCCATGTAGTTTTAGTCCCAGATAGTACTAACCTTAGATGTGTTGGGAATATTTCTACAGCGTATGCATTGACTGGTCCTATCGCTAATCCTAGCACTGGCAACGCTGATAAGAATATAGCAAACAAAATATCTTGTGTAACCACGTTGATCAGTACACAGAATAGACCGATTATCAATTGAACTGCTATTAATAAGTTCTTCTTGCCGATGATCTTGACGGTGCTACTAACTACGATTGCGATGACGGCGCATGTTACATTGGCCACCGAATTAATGAGGAAAGTCATCGTGTCCAATGTATCGTCACATTCGGCGAAGTCATCAGCAGTCTAAAACAAAAGACAACATCTTTAGGCAAATTTTTATAGAAACAAGAAACAAAGAAGTATCGATTACTTAATCTTCTCCGCTATTATTAAGCATATAGTTAACCAGTTACCTACAAACCTAAATACCTACATACCTACCTTCGTTATTGTAAAAGAGTAAAAATGTATTACATGTATTTTTAACAGTGGTAGAGCCTGCTTTAACATCTTCGCACGAATTGTCCCGGCTCGCCCGGTGAAATACCACGACCACACAGAAGACAGGCGTGAAGTCGAAGCAATTTCGCGTTTCGTCTGATGAGTGTGCGTCCCGGAGGCCTAATATAGTCCTCTTACCCTTCCCATCCTTTTTCTTATAAGGAAAAGATTGGAAATGGAAGTGGACTTTCCGGATGAGAGGATGCATGGGTAGGGAAATTATTTTCTTTCTGTGCATCCTCTCCTCCATCGATTAAAGGTAGGCAACGCATATGCAATTGCGTATGTCTATGGGCAACGGTCACTTCGCTATTTCAGCGATTTCAGGTCGCCGCTCGCTCGTTTGCCACCTTATGATAAAAAAAAACTTAAAGTTACAACACATAATTAATACATACACTGTTAAGTCGCTGGGCGATAACTTCGCAAGCCGTAACCCCTTCACCGTCACCAGTCAGCACCCGGTTCAACACATCAGGTATCCAAACATTAAGACCATTTATTCTGAAACCATCAAATATTATTTATAAAATCGCAGAACGACAGTTAACAAGAATAGAAATTAATTACAAAAAGAAAAGGCACACCGTACTCACGTCGAAAATATACCAAAGAATATAGTACTGTTGAGTGCCATCCATTTTAAAAAGGGCGGTTTAAACAAAGGTACTGATTGTACTTTTAGTGATGTAAAGAATGCAGGTTTTTCTTTTTTAACAAATTCGTCTGTCTTTAGGCTTTTAATCTGAAAATTAAACACAAACTTAAATTTACTGAATTATACGAAAGAAAGTGATATCGTCGAATCTTCAACTGTTTATACGAGTATTTGCATGTCAAGTAAAAGCTAAATATAATGTGTAATGTTCCAGAACTCGACTTCGTCAATTGAAATCAGGTAATAGTAGAAAAGACAAAGGCGTACAAGGATCAAACTTAATAATTTACTAAAATAGCTAAAAACTAATACAGAAGAGTACTTTGTATTCATCTTCATCTTGAGGTGTACAAGACTAGTGAAGGTTGGCAGTAATTGTATTACTTACAGGATAATCATCCGGAGATTTTTTCTTATTCTTCGAGTACATCATTCTTAACAAGTCGAGGGTTTCATCAAATCGTCCTTGAGATATCAGATATTTTGGGCTTTCTGGCCCGCATGTCAGTAGCAGCGCAGCTATTATGAATAAAGAGCCGTACATCATTGTCAGTAGTCTCCATGGTCGAAATTCGTAAGCTCCGAAATCCACTCTAAACTCCAATGGAAGTATAGCCCAGCCGAACACTGGAAAACAAGCATTAATATATATATTTTTTTACATATCATATGGTGGCAAACGAGCGAACGACCACCTGAAATCGCTGAAATAGCGAAGTGACTGTTGCCCATAGACAAACGTAATTGCATATGCGTTGCCTACCTTTAATGGACGGAGGAGAGGATGCACAGAAATAAACTATTTTCCCCTTTCATGCATCCTCTCATCCGGAAAGTTCACTTCCACTTCTCATTCTTTCCTTATGAGAAAATGGGAGGGAAGGGAAAGAGGACTAAATTAGGCCTCCGGGACGCACACTCATCAGACGAAACGCGGAATTACTTCCATTTCACGCCTGTCTTCTGTGTGGTCGTGGTATTTCACCGGGCGAGCCGGGCCAATACGTGCGAATATGTTAAATTGGGCTCTACCACTGTTATAATTAATATAAATATATTATAATTAATATAATTAAATAATTAATATTAAGTTATTAATATTAATAAATATTTAAAAAATTTATTAATTAAGTAATATATCTTATAATTAATATAATTAAGTAAATATTCAGTAGAGAAAAAAATCAAATTCAAGGTTAATACCCAAAATTTGAATTGTAAGTAATTGTCGACTGTCGGAAAGTCGTGCTGAAGATTTAAAATAACCTTTTTAATTAGTGATTACTGGTGAACATGATGTATGTAAAGGTTTTATGATTTAAAAAAAATACTTACAAGGAACTATAGCGGATCCCAATATCTGCATTGCGTTAGTAACAGATAAAGTGATATCTCTATACTTCAGGGGGACAAGTTCTCCTATAAATGTGTACGGAACTGCAGCCGGACATGCTATACTAAAAACAAATGCATATTGTCTATAAATTAACGTAAAAAATTAAAAAAAGACAAAGTACTAGTCAGACAAAATGTTTCAGAAGGACTTTATTTAAGGACAAAATACAAGTATTTTGTACTGATTTTTTTTAAAGATAGACTTTTAGCTAAAGTTAGCTAACCTTACTAAGTTTTGAATGCAAATAGAAATTTTTAGATGTCATTCAAGGGCTTTTATAATTGGACCTTTATGAATTAATTTTCTCTCGTGTGTTGTTTAAACCGAAAAACTATTGGATAGTTACAGCTACTGCTGATTTTAATATGATAAAATAAAATGTTATTGATAAGATAAATATTGAATTACTTGATAACAAAATAACTACATCATAATGAAATGAAGAAAATCGGGAAGAGATAAATAAAAAGATACGTATTAACCATAAAAAGTATTTAAAAATTGATTAAAGATTTATGAGCTATACATTCCTCGCGATTATCGGGACAATTGAATAGCTATTAAACTGGTGTAATAAAAAATAGGAGTTATTGTAACTTACCATAATGCCGACAAGAATTTGCAGACAGCAAAACTTATAAAGTCAGGCATAAAGGCGGAAAGCAGTACAAATACGCCCGCCGCCAGAGAACTCAAAATCAATGACATCTTCCTGCCCCGAGTGTCCACTAAATAACCCCATGGAAATGATGTCAGTACAATACCTGTAAGAAAACATTTGAAATTAAAATTGTCAAGCAATTTAATGATATGCAATTTTGCAGACAAAAGATACAAAGGCGTTGCCTTAATGGTTTACTGCGGTTAGGAAAATAGATATTATATGTAGATTACCCTGAATAATTCTTCTTCTTCCAAGCTATCCCCATTTTTTGTTGCCTAAAACTTTTTCAGACTTGATGCCTTCAAGTCTTAGAATAATTAGCGTTTTATTAGAGACTAACCGTGGGCTTCTGAGACCGAAATTTCCGATTAAAACATATTGTTTTCTCTGTTTTGTTTAATGACAGGGTTGATGATATATTTGATACAGAGATCATGGTCTCAGAAACGCACGGTAAGTGCACGTTTACATGAACAATAAATAATATTTCAATTGATCTTGTAGATGGGTTTTCCGCGCGGGATTGCGAGGTCATGAACACGCCTTATCATAATTTATAATTCTAACAACATAATGACAATGATAATAAATTAAAGAGCTGTAAGAATAAGATTATAATAGAAGATAAGATTTCTGGTATGTAATACGTAATGGATGTCATAACTTACCGATATAGGGTACAGAAGCTAAAAATCCTCGCTGTCCATCTGTTATGTTCAAATCACATTTAGACGATGGTAATATGTAGGAGTAGCCGACTGGTTCTACAATTGCTGCTACGAGGAATAGAGCCAACACTAAACAGTATTTGATATTGTACCAGCCGAGACCTAGAAACATGTTTCAGGTTACAAGAGCAAAGAAAATATACACAAATAGGCTTAATATTTTTCTGTGCTAATCTTACTAATATTATAAATGCGTATGATTAGATGGATGGATGCTGAAATTAGGCATGGATGTAAAATAAATCTGGAAGAACACATAGGCTACTTATTAAGTTTTTTTTTTAATTTCGCGCGGACAGAATCGCAGGCTACACCTAGTATAATAATAATGGTGACTGTGAGCTAATCTTAGAACTAGATTATTGCATTCTATTGGTTAACTAATTTCATTATTTTTTTGTAAATTATACCTTAAAGTAAATTGAATAAAGTTCATTTTTCTTTATTTTGAATAATGTCGGCGACGAGTTTGTCTAGTGAAGAATCATAGATCTTGATTACTCAGATAATGTACAGTTATAAAGTTACTTTGAAACTTTGTTCCACAAATGCAAATAAAAGTATCAGCAATGATCGAGATCTTCTTAATCTTTATTATGTAGGTTAGTAATTTTCCTTCATCTTGTTTGTGTTACGAGACTAATTAATATAAAGAAAATAACAAAAGGAGGAATTGCTTTGATGAAAATTGCTTTTGTATATCGTTCTGCTAAATACTAAGTATATAATAAAATATAATCTCATTACATAAAATAAATACTTATTATATATTTAACATTGAATATGAATAATTTCCAACTCTAATGTAAACAATACAATTATCGGTCCATGATCACGACATTAGTCAAAACATATAATACTTCTGTGTCTTGTTAAATATAAATTAATACTAAAACTGGTTGTCAAAACAGTGACTCCATGACTGTTCGTTACAGTCGCATATGTTATCTTAATGCCTTACTGTTTACTAATTATAAATGCGAATATTTGGATGGATGTATGGATGTTTGCTAGAAGATATAACGGCTGCATAGATATCGCTGAAATTTAGCATAGATGTAGAACATAGTCTAGAAGAACATATAGGCTACTAATAAACTACGCTTTAAATAAATAAATAAAAAAAAATATTCCCTGAGACGAAGTCGCGGGCGACAGCTAGTACCTATATGGTCCAGTTTTCAGTTCAAATTTTGCGATAACGTTTTCTTTCATTAAAACTTAATTTATTGAAAACTTATTTTAATTAAAACCTACTTAATTTTTTGTTCTCTTTGCATAACAGGTTTGCATGCGGAGCATTAAGGTGATGAATGATATTCACCATTTTATTTATACCCTTCCATGTGGTCTAAGGGGACTGGAGACAGGGACTAGCGTGTACCACTTACGAGTTTCAGCGTTTGTAACATTTCAAAGGCATTGTGCATTCTTAAAAAACGAATCAACTAAAAGCGTTCCATAATTTGTTTATCTCGTACTACTTATTTGTAGCACAATACAGATAGATTTCAATATAAACAATGGTTATCTATAAAAAGTTATAGATTAAAACGTCCCAATTGCCTTACTTATTAGAAACAGGCAAACATGAAAACATCCTAAAGTAATCTAAAATTGATTTAAAATTAAAATAACTTATAGAGATAAATGAATGATTCACAACAAAATATTTTGTCAAACCTGCGACATGTAAAGCGTGATCCAAAGTTGCTGCATTTTCGTTTTTCTTCTCAACAATCTCACTGACCGTGTCAAATTGATTTCCATTCATTGTTTCGTATTATAAATAATGTTATCATTTATTTAACAATTATATCACATCAAATTATCACATAATTCACTGTTATTAAAAAAATAATTCAGCTGAGATAGACGCGACCGTCTTCAGTGTGTACGTAGGCGCTGCTAAATTATTAATGTTTTGATAAAGTATACAAAACTGATAATAAGCTATAAAGTATATTTATCATGTCATGTAATTTAAAACGGTTAATTTAAAAAAAATGTAACATTTTTATTTTCTACATTTAACACCATTTAAAAAGAATGTTTAGTTTTAATCAAGGTTAGCTTTCGCAGTTGTAAGGACGTCCATTACTAGACCTCTTACCCTCTGCTACGACTCGATGACCTTGACAACATCGTCATCGATTTAATAAACTTATGCTTATTTCATATTTCGTGAATAAAGTAAGTAAATGTTATGCTAATTTATGATAAATTCGCGAAAACCGTCTTTTGTTATCCTTGCAAAAAATTGTGTAGTTTTTTCTTCTAAATTTATAATTTAATATGTCTGTATATGTTCGTACCTCACGTAACCGTTAATTTAACTTTATTAATATATTTTGTTATCTTTGTTTCAAAGAGAATCAGAGACATGTCAATATTGTATTAATACTGCTGTCTTAGTTCTTGGTGGTCTTACGATAATGGAGGTTTGTGAACAAAAATTTAAAGTAATAGAATAAGTACATTTTGTTACACTGATAAAAAAAAACAATTAATACGAGTCATGGCTTGCAGTTTTTGGTTACGCTAAGTGTCTACTTTATCAACACATTTTATATTATCTTGATAAACTAAAACGATCACAATGTGTACAGATTAACGTCATTTTTATTGTTTACGGTGAAAATATACGTATATGTTATCAAAATCGAATCGACAAGTATGTGATGTTTATTACTACACTGCTACTACTAATAATTAATACATCGGCCAAATTAGTTACAACGCTCATTAAATACTATGTTCATGGTGATTAAAAATGTAACAACATTTATACCATTATATTTTAAATTTTTATACCCTATGAATACTGCTACGAAGATTTCTAAGTTTATCAAATTAATAAGGTTAGAACTACACACATTACACAAAAAGTGTTTCGTTTATTCTATTCATTCTAGTTTATTACGCACTTGTTCGTGGTTGTCTTTTTTCTTAAATAAATTAGTATCGCTATCATAATCTCTTTTTGCAAATAAAACAACTTTATCTTAAACAATGTTAGTTTACATAATCGTATAATGACAGTATTACAATAGGATTATGACGAAATTCTTTTTTATAACATGGAAAGGATTGAGGTTTAGATTTAGTGAATAGATAAAAAGTGGAATGAGTACAAAAATAAATTTTATTCGGATACAAGTTTATATCTTACATGGCTTATTTTATACGTACAATTATTTACGATACTTCGTTTCTATAAATCACATTTTTGTCATCAACACCTCTTTGGTTTGTTTCGCTTTAGAAGAGGGCATTAGGAACGACATCAAACCGCAAACTGAAAAGTAAATAAAATGTAATAAATAACAAAATAAAAAAATAAAACTTTTTCAACCATTAACAGTAGAAATCAAACAAAAGCTTACACATAAGTAATCCTCCAAAGAAATAGAATGTGACTTCACAGGCAGCGTTTAACATAATCCCAGCGATATTAGCTCCAATTACGGAGCCAATACGACCCATCATCATTGATAAGCTGACAGCCATGCCTCTGCAAATTAAAATGTTAACAGTTTGTACTTTATGGACTGACTAAAATAAGTATGCAGATAATCAACTCAATCAATCAAATCAACTTTCCAACTTCCCACCCTTCCCTTATCATATTCCTTACATTATCTCTGTGGTTTATTAGTTTCATTAAATTTGTACTTTACATTGTATATAAGATGCCAAACCAGAAGAGAGGTTGTTTGTAATATTTTAAAGTTCAGCATACCTATAGAAGTATTTACCTTAGATGTGTTGGGAATATTTCTACAGCGTATGCATTAACTGGTCCTATCGCTAATGCGAGCACTGGCATCGCAGACAAGAATATAACAAACAATATATCTTGCGTTACCACATTAACTAATGCACAAAATAGACCGATTATCAACAGCACTGATATTAGTAAGTTCTTCTTGCCGATGATCTTGACGGTACTACTGACTACGATTGCGATAACTGCACAAGTCAAATTAGCGACAAAGTTGATGAGGAACGTGGTTGTGTCCAGCGAATCATCACATTCGACAATGTCATCTCCCGTCTATAAGAAAAAGAGAAACGGTAATTTAAATTTATTACTTTGAAAAAGTTGTACATTCGTCTCATTATACATATATAATATTATATATATATATGTCTCCAACAGGGAGTTCGGGGACTACCCATGTTAGGAGTGACTAAGCTATCAACCACGCTAGATTAGTGTGGTTGATAGCTTGATTAGTGGTGTTGACTTCCAAAATATATTTGAAATTCTTGGTCGATATATACAGGTTCCATCACGATGTTTTCCTTCACCGTTATAAAGTCGGATAAATGTACATATAAAACTGTAAAGTAACAGTAAGGGGCAAACGAGCAGCGGGAACACCGAGGTGTTCAACGACGCCCATGGACATCAGCAATACCAGAGGAACCGGAGATGCGTTGCCGGCATTTGAGATGGTGATACACTCCCTTCTTGAAGGACCCTAAGTCGTAGCGGTTTGGAAATACCGCCGAGTACCGTTCGGCCAAGTGCTTCATTGCGTCATTGACGCTCTTTTGTTTGGATGTTATTGTTATACGTACAGCGTTGAGTCTTTGGGCGATAATTTCACATGCCGTTGCTCCTTCACTATCACCTGTTAGCACGCGATTTATAATATCAGGCACCCAAATATAAAGACCATTAGCTCTGAAAAAAAAAATAATCGCTTACAATTCTGTGGGAGGCAGTTAGTAAGTTAAATGTTAGTAAATGTACATCTTGATATGAATTCAAAATCACAGTTTACACTACGATCTTTAAATAATTTTAGAATATTGTATGAAGCGAAAATTTTGAAAACTCCATATACTATGTTCCGTCTCCAAAAAGTTCTTATAAAATCTAAAAACGAAGTACTTACGTTGCAAGAATTCCAAAGAAGATAGAACTATTGAGTATCATCCATTTTATATAAGGCGGTTTAAATAAAGGCAATGTTTGTACTTTCAAAGATGTTAAGAATCTAATTTTTTCTTTTTGAACAGTTTCGTCGATCTTAAGACTCTTTATCTGTAAAAAGCAAAATCTTACAGCATAATAGATTGTTCCAAGTAAGGTGTGTACTATGTTATATTGGAATTTAAAGAAAATGTACGAAAAAGCATAATATATTTTCCGAAGTACTGAATCCAGAATTAAGGTTAATAAATTTTATCACGACAAAGTATGAATAAAGAGCTAAGAGGGCTTACCGGAAATTCATCAGGCGATTTCTTTTTATTTTTCGAATATATTATCTTTAACAGTTCCAAAGTTTCGTCATATCTTCCCTGAGACAAAAGATATTTTGGACTTTCTGGTCCGCATAACAACAAAAGAGCCGCTAATATGAATAAAAAACCGTACATCATTGTCAGTAGTCTCCATGGTCGAAAGTCATAAGCTCCGAAATCCACTCTAAAGTCTAAAGGTAGGACAGCCCAGGCGAACACTGGAAAATGAGTTTTTAAAGTAGTAAAATTTAGAAGAATTTCCTGATAACAAACCTGTTTTGAATGAAGAGAATTTGAGATAGATATAGAAGAATAAAGAGCAGCATTTATACCGTTATTTCATTCAGATTGAGATTCTCTTATAGAGATGTATGGACGAGTACAAACTTTGCCGAACGATTGTAGGGATAAGTGAAGGTTAATGATGTAAAGATGGAGTGATTACTAGCCAAAAATACATACAAGGTACTATGACGGATCCTAATATCTGCATTGCGTTAGTTACAGACAAAGTGACATCTCTATACTTCAGGGGAACGAGTTCCCCTATAAATGTGTAAGGTGCTGCTGCCGGACATGCTGTACTGAAATACAAATTTTAAATAATAATTAATACATGTGAATAGCCTAATAGTTAAGGGTACGGATTTCCGATCACAAGGTCGGGTCGGGGGTTCGAATCCTGCCATTCGACTATTGTCGTAAACCGTATCCTATCACAAGCCTAGAGCTTAGTTGGAATGGTAAAAGAAATATTAGTAAATTTACAAAACAAAAAATATCTGTTGATAAAATTAAAGTCATATTCTTCAAAGTTTATAACAAAGTAGTCAAGGATTGTACCTTACCATAACGCTGACAAGAATTTGCAGGCAGCAAAACTAATGAAGTTTGGCATAAAGGCGGAAAGCATTATAAACATGCCCGCCGCCAAAGAACCCAAAATCAATGACTTCTTCCTGCCCCGAGTGTCCACTAAGTAGCCCCATGGAAATGATGTCAGTACAATACCTATAATAAAGATTAAAAAGAATACTACTTAAAATGCTGAAATTTTCTGTGTCTTCTGAAATTTGATTTTAATTTTTCATATTATGAATTTAATTCAACATAAATAATCTTACTAAAATTATCTCTGTAATAATAAAAATATGCGAATCTTTTGACATATGGATGGATGGATGGTTGACAGAAGGTATCAGAAGAACGGCATTGATAGAAAATCGTAGTAACGATTAGTCGTGACTTCTTTATTACAGTACTGGATATACAAGATAAGATTGTAAAAAGTATAACATACCTATGTATGGGACGGAGGCCAGAAATCCTCGTTGTGCATCCGTTATATTTAGATCACATTTAGATGCTGGCAATATGTAGGAGTAACCAATCGGCTCTACTATAGCTGCTATGAGGAAGAGAGCTAACACCAAGCAGTATTTGATGTTGTACCAACCGATACCTAAAAAAATGCAAACACCTATACATTATCAATGCAGAATTTAATTCTAATAAATATTTAGACACACACAAAACAACATTCTTCTGGACTTGGATAAACTATCATGAACTAATTTCAGGAACGTAAATGTAATTGAAATTTGAGGTAAAATTAATTTGGAGGAAAAGCGTAAAAACAGCTATCTTCAACAAAAAAAACTCCCTAATTGGAATATTAGTATTTTGTAAAAATCGTTGTAAGTTATTTAAAAAGTAACAACTCACAATAAAATTAGAATTCAAACCTGCGACGTGCATAGCATGATCCAAGGATGATGCATTATCATTTTTCTTCTCAACAACCTCACTCAATGTGCCGACTTGATTTCCATTCATGTTATTTTTTTAAATAAATAAACGTCTTTATTAATTCGTTAAAAATCACATTGATGGTCTCATTTTTCACTACTAATAAAATAAAAAATAATCTTAAAGTACGGACAACCGTCGCCACCGTGTCTTATTGCGTTTCTAATTTATAAATGTTGTGATAAAGCAAATATAGTTAAGCTTGAAGGTAATTTATTAAAATATAAGTGTCATCCTTCATAAGCATTATTTTCCATAATGAGAATGAGAAATATTTTTTCTCCCGTCGATTTTTCCCTCTTTTAATCCACTTAATTTTCGTTTGGTAAATCTTACTAATATAAAAGCGAAGTTTGGATGTATGGATGGATGGATAGATGGACGTTTGTTAGAAGCTATCTGCAGAACAGCTCCGAATGCACGAATCTCACTGAAAGACATAGATGTAGAAAATAGTGGGGAACACAAACTACTATTTATTTTTTCGCTGGCCGCAGCTAGTTAAAATATATATCGCAGGGTACAATATGTATGACGATAAAACTTGCTAACTTTATGCGCTTGGACCATGTTGATAAATATTATACGGTTCAGATGCTACAAAAAAAGGATGACAAAGTCGAAGTAAGACCACGCTGGTCCAGTGGAGATTGATTTTAAATTGAGGGAATAGAACCCAAAACCTGAAGATTACAAAGACAAACTCTACCTTGATGACTATAATAAAAATTTAAATATCTATAATTTAACGTAATATAACATAAGGGCGCTTTCTACCCTACTTGTAATGGCAATTTCTTGTGCTTTAGCTATTAGAATATTTTTTCGGTTCACAGGGAATAAGCATAATTATTCAATTTGACTCACTGCACCAAGTCCTCAACTTTACAAAATAAAACGCAAAATATTACAAAAGTTGACAGTATATTTAAAACAGTATAACAATATTTACATATTAGTACAGTATAGTTCAGGGTAGTTATTGTTCTCCAAAATTATTTACTAGATAAATGTTATTTATCTCGATTGTGTCAGACGTATTCAATGAGATTATTTTATAGAATCGTTACAATGTTTTACAAAGCAACTATGTCTTATGTTAATTTATTTGTATAAGCTTCCTAGTCATCTTTAGTATTCAGACAATAGCTGTTCGATACAACAGCATGTCTTATAATTATTATGGATTTTATGTAACGGTATTCTTTTATCATTATGCAACTTATCTTTTATTAGCAACTGTTGCTTTAGTAATCCATATATATCATTTTTCAAATCTTTTATTGTATTGTGTAGAGGTAACAATTTCTGGTTATACACTTTATCTAAAGTTAATTGTAAATTTCCTTCACTTTTTGTATTATTTGTGATGCATTTTTTTATGCTGCCTCTTATTTTTTTCTTATCTGTATTAATATTTGAAGATGTATCATCGTTATCTAAAACAATGGATTATCTTAATAAAATGCGAAATCACTAAAGTAAATATAATTAAATGATGAAATCACGCGTAATGATAATGCTGCAACTTAAAAAATTACTTTCCCCCAACATAAGACATTCAAATTGCTGACTGATCAATTAAGAGTCAACTTTAATATTTATTTTCAATTCAAGAAGTAATAAAGTGAAAAAAGAATCAACTATACCTTCATCAAATACAACTAATTTATGTTTAAATTCCTGTTTAGGTAAAACAGATTCCATTTTTGTCATTTCTTGATTGTGATCTTCTGTTTCTTTGGCTTTTGTAATTTGTAATAGTAATTTTTTTTCTCTGTCTATAGGTATTGATATAGGACTGTCATCTAATCTCACCAGGGTCATGAATTTTAAAATATTGTCGTCTTCATAACGTTCCACATCGTTGTTCGTTGTTTCTATTGTTCTGATAACATTTCCACCTTTTTCAGAATAGAAGCTTTGAAATGCCATGTTAAGATAAATTGTATCTTTAAAATTACTGTCTTTCGATAAAGGATGAATAAAATTACGCTTGTCTTTTTTGTTAATATCAGTCTCAGTCGCTGTCATTGAAGTTTCATAAAAACCATTGTTTTGATCATCCTTTGCAGTATCAAAATTACTTATTGGACTTAGGTCACCTATTGCGACTTTCAATCCTGATTCTGTTGATGACCTCGCTGTTACAGGTATTTTAACATTGTTTAAATTTTCTTCATCTAATTCTTTAAAGGTTTCCAGTGATCTTTGTACATTAACTTCATTTGTTGACAAACTTAGGTTTTGTAGATTCTCGTTTTTATGAAATTTTATTAGATCGTCTATACTTAACTGGGCTTGAATTTCGTTATTATCACTAAGATGCTGAAGTTCCACTTGCGATGGTGTTGTTACAAAATGTTCGTTATTGGATAGTGTAATATTTGACTCAGACTTACTTTTCTTTGTAAAACTATCACGTTTTAAATTGTTAGTAACTGTAGTTAATATTTCGACAGGTTCATTACTTTTAATATTTACAGTAACATCGGTGTTCACAAAATCGCTAAGGCCAGTATCTTGAACACTTGCTAAATCGAAGTCTGCAGTTTCTGAGACAGGATAGTTTTTCAACGTATTATATCTATTTAAATCTCTCTCCATGCTCTGTAATAGTAAAAGGTATAAAAAGCCCATAGATATAGAAGATTCGATAACTAATTAAAATAGATTAAATAAAAGGAAATAGAGGTTGTAGGGTACACTTTCCTATTATACATGTATAGAGTAACTAACTACAAAAAATTTACTTCCGTATCATCATCAACAATATTTTCATGTTCTTATACTTACAGTTAGGCTTCGAGTTGCAAGAGGACTGCTTTGTATTTTTCTTAATGTTTCAGTGTATTTAGAATCAATAAACAAGTTTGAATTGTCTATATCAGATTTTACGCTTCTTATGGCAGTTTTATCAGGATTCGTTTTTGTTGAATCTGTGTCAGTTTTTTCACTAATTTTTAAATCATTATCACCAGCAATTAGTAGCTGATTGTTACTTTCTTTTACGCTAGACACAGTAGTAAGATTGATTTCACCGTCATCAACCATATCGGTAAGCGCTTCATTTAAGTCATTCCTAAGTACCGAATTATGTTTCTCAATAATTTCCGTTCTTGAATCAATTTTAGTTTCGATTTCTTGTTGAATATTTGCAATATTTGATGTATCTTTTGACAAAATGTTAGTATCCATTTTAGTATCTTGTAACATTTGCTCATATTTCTGTTCCAAATAAGGCTTATTATCTTTATCGGTTAAAGAAATACTTTTAATGACTTCATTGGAAAAGTTGGAATTTAAAATCGGGTTCATATATGTCACCGGTGTTTTTAAATCTTCATTAAGCGTTGTGATAATCTCGTTTTGTGGTAAATCATTATCAACTATTGATTTGTTACTGTTTTTTTCAAGAAATATAGAAGCATTTGGAATTTTTAAATCTGTATCAGGGTTAGTAATCTCTTTTATGTTTTGTCCGTTAACTTTTTGATTTGAGTTCAAAGAATTAATACTCGAAAACTCATTGATTAATTTTACTTCCTCGTTTTCAAAGGGACATTCTGGGTCTAGTACATCACCGTTTTCGTTGTAGTTATTTTCTTTTTCATGTCCCGTTATGTCAATTCCATAATCAAATTTTGTTGAGGTGAAACTTTGATCTTTTTGAGATGTTTCTGAGCTAGAAGTTTCTTTTGTAATATTTTTTATGTCTTCTACATTATTTTTTATATACAGAATAGTGGTATCACTGTCAACTTTATATATTGTTTTTGGACTTGCTGGGGACACGGTGACGGGATTTATAAATACTTTCAAGGAACTTCCATCAGTATTAGGAGCGTCATTAAGTATTTTATTATTTAATGAAGTGATTGAAACATTATTATTTATCTCATCTTTTGTTAGGCTAAAGGAAACATTGGCAGTCCTACTTAAATCAGCTAAACTGCTAATTAGTGTTCTTGAATTCGAATGAATTTCTTCAAAATTTTTATTATTGCTCTGAATTGTCATTTGAGGATCAACAAAATTTCCCTCTGGATGTGTATTTCGGTAACTGTTTAATATTTCCGGTTTCAATTCTATTAAATTGTCTTGATCTTGTGACAATAGTTTTACAAATGAATGTGTTTTTGTACCGAAGTCAGTACTATCGGTTCTTTCTTGAAACTTGTTAATTTTTATTTTCTTTGGTGAAATAAAAAATGCTTCTACATTTTCTTTGGAGGTATGAGATAGCCTGCTATTATTATTACTGTGTTGAATTATTTTTTGCGTATTACTTATATTGAGTGAGGCACTAGATGATATTGAAGGATACGTGATAATCGAATTTGAACGTTTTGTATTTGATAAATTAATATTAGTAGAAAAAGGCAATTGCTCTTTCTTATCTGAAACGTAACTAATTTCATCTTTTTCTTTTATATTTCGATGTTTATTTAATGGTTTCTGTAATGCTATCTCTTTAGATTTACGTTTATTTGAGTTTTTATCTACTCTCGACATTTGAATTAGTTTCGGTACATAGGAGTATTTGTCTTCACCATATGGTGGATCCAGACATCCACCTGTAAATACAATATTGAATGTTAATTAACTCCAATTACTACATAGAAATTAGCTTTACAATGATCTTCAACCAATTTTACCTGGTTTACATTCTCCTAAAATATCTTTATGCGTACGCTTTTCAATTCGTCTTCCATCAGAGTTATCATACATTTTTGTCAAAGTGAAGTTTCGCTTGTTCATATTATTTATTGACGTGCTTTTTATCGGGATAAGCTGTTCATTATCCGTGTTACCTCTTTTTTGGAACTCATATTGGTCTTCCTCGGTCTTGTTTCCTAAACAACTACCTATTGGTATAATCAAAAGAAAATTAAAACATAATTATCTTGTGAAATGGAATTGATAGGTAAATGGATTGGATGGAGCAGTTTCACATTTAATTAAAATTACAAATAATTAAAAATACTTCACCCCTTTTGAAGAATCTAAATTTTCTTTTATGCTTCCGTTGTTTGTTTGTAGATTCATCTTGCTCCATTAAAACGTTGAAGGACATAATTGTTTGATCACTATTGCTTAGCTGAATTTTGTCATTATTATACATTGGATTATCTTTATTTGGTATAGATATGATGCCTTGACGTAAAATTTTATTTTGGTCTTTGTTCCGTATTCGTATTTTAACGTTTATTGGATCATTGTATACACCAGTAGACATTTGTCCCTTATTTTCATTAGGCACTGCTTCTATTTCGAAAGCTAAACTCTCAATAATTTGATCCATTACGTCATTCATTATTGGTAAATAAATTTTGATTCGTATTCAATAATTTCTTCCAGAAAGGATTTATTTAAATAGGACCATTTTAAGTTACCTAAAAATACGAGTAATTAACTGCTTGTTTTGTCGTCATATTAAAGGTGATGCATTCAATATCTTAATCCGCGGTACGAATATTATAAATCTATACATGTTTTATAATTGCTCTAGTATCAAAATAAAATTTGTATAAATTTTAAAAACAATCTTTTGTAAAACTTTGATTTATTGATCGAACATCACAAAATATTAACAAATTATTATTATTTATTGAACACAACTGAATACACAACGCGATTTGATGTAAACTGATTCTCTCTATAATTGCATTTGTTTGAACTGTTATTAGAATAAACAAAAGATTGGAGATATTCAGATTTTTTCAAACCTAAAGGAATGCACTTATTAATAATTTCGTTTAACTTAACACGGAGGGGTAGCATTTCTTTTTCCATAATCTGTTTAAAATAACTGTAACGAAGTGCAGGTAAGACTTTTAATTCAGCAACTCTTAGGTCTGGAGTATTGTCTTTATATGTATTTTTATCCGTTTCAACTTTCGCATCTTCTTGCAGTTTAAACGTCTGTGTTGTTAAAGTATAATACATATTAGTATTGAAATAAGAGTCATTTTGATAAACAGTCTTCAACGGTGGAGTAGGATTGGTGTCAGGTGAAAGAAAATATGTTATCGTTGATTTCTGGTCCAATGTCGAATTTAAATTGGTCAGTGTCGCTATAGATTGAAGTTTAACGACTGTCGACTCTGCTAAATCATTATCGTCTCCAGAGCCTTTGTCCACACTACTTTCATTGTTATCACTTCCAGTGTTTGATATTTGAGTACCACCAGATTTTTCTGCAAAAAAAAACGCGAGTGCAACGTGGCTTTTAAATTCAAATGTTATTCAAAAAAAAAATTAAAATTACTTATGTTATGGAAAATACTGGTAAACATTCTCTTTTAATTTTGCTTTCTAATATGGAGTGGATATTTATTTTGGTAAGTAGTGCTTTTAACACTACTCTCATTTCAAATGATATAGTTATAAATGTAATTCATAAAAATTAAACATCTTTATGTAATTATAGAAAAAAAATATCGGTAGGAAACAATAAAAAAGAAAAATAATTGATGATTAACCTTCTTGGGTGCAATTCTTCTTAGTCTTATTCCGATCTTTTGTATCACAGTTTAAACAAATTAAACTACTTTCAAGATTAATTTTCTCTTGCAGAATTTGTTTCATACTTCCTATATTGATCAAGTTATTGCCCTTCTTATCAAATTCTCTCTCTAAGTCTGATCTGTGATTATTTGCTAACGTAATCTTACATTTTTCATTGTTTCTTACATCCGGTATTATTGATTTAAGTATGACATTATCACTTATTATTCTTGAAACATCTCCTGATCCTAATTCTGTATTATTTATGGATCTCGTATGTAATAAATCAACACAAGAATAATATATCTTATTTGATTCCTCGTTATTATTTGGTGTTACTTTTCTTATAACAATTCTATGCTTCATAGGCACTATGTATTCAATCAAATTATTTTCCTTCTTCCATTCTATTTTGTCAACATTATCAACATAAATTACTTCTGGTGTTATTTCTAAAGAGTATGTTAAATTCTTTTCTTTGATTACTTTAACCATGGGTGTGAATTTAATTCGAATACTAGCAGTGTCCATGTTACGAAAACCAAAATAACTGTAAAAAAAATAATAAAAAAAATTTGATAGTAGCACAAAAGGTCATAGAATGTGGTAAGTTTTACGATCATACATTTAAATAAAATTAGTATATATTATTTATGTCTAACTTCGTAAGACTATGTTTTATCGACCCAACTAAATTAAAAAGCTTAATTACATACGAAGTAAACTCTATATAAATTTTATGAAAATCTGAAAATAGTAGCCACGGAAGTCACGGGTATAATATATAAAGGCTTTTAGTATATAAAAGGTTATAATATATATATATAGCGCGATATTCAAGTCATGTTAAACGCATCATGAAATTTAAAGAATTAATTGGTTCCATGGTTATTTCAACTAATAAATAAAGTTATTTTTTCAAAACTTTTTTAGTCTTTTTTGACTTTTTGCCAATCTGTAATGATACCTTTACCTTGTCATATTTACAAAAAATATATAATTTGAAAAACCGTTTATTCAAAACCAATAGAACACTTTAGCAAATAAAACTATTTTTACCTTAATTATTGTGTTTTACATCAAATGCGGTAAAAATTTACTACTAAAAACTGAAAAATACTATAAATTTTGATATCTTAATGTCATTTTATGTAAAATGTCATATATTTCTTACTTTTTTTAGATGATAGCTAAAAAGATAACGGTGGCGGTTCAATATAACAATAATGTTATAAAATACGTAGTTTTTTTATGAATTCTATTTGGCCGCTACGTTCTGGCAAGCCACGAAATCGATTAAAAAACGGTTTTCACAATCAGTTTCTTGCGAATGGTATCTTAATATCCTCAATTTAATTTTTTAAATTTTACACTATAATTTTCAAGAGATTTTGTTCAAGCATCACAACTTCTATATGAAAGAAAACTTCAATGATTACACCCCAATTACTATCTAAAACGTATAACAAAAATTAAAGACCGTGTACTAATTTATTATTTATTTTCCACAACACTGCCTACTGTACAATAATTACATTATCTTTTTTTTTTATTTTTACAAATCAAACATCGATTTATATACGACATAAGAAATATAACAATTTATTGCTCCTATTTCATCAATATCTCTATCATTTTAAGCCTTAAACCTAAAATGTACAGAAACTTTGTAAATAGCAAAAAATAATATTAAAATAAAATAATTAACAAAAACCCTTTTTTAAAATAGGTTTAGAAAACTATAAGAAATCCTTGGTTGGAGCTGTTTATTAAAAAAATCTAAAGAAACTAAACATAATCATAATATGGAAAATAAGTTAAAATATTTTACAATTAAACATCTAAAACTAACATTAGTTCAGCGTTCATTATACTCTACCATTAATCTAAGCAAAATGTACAATTTCATTCTATAAATTACTTTAATAACCAAATTATTCAATAAATTTAAACGTAGGTTTACACTGTACAAATATAAAGCAATATTAAAGTTATTTCATACGTAAAATAATGTTCATTTTTTTTATCATTCATAAAATAGCTTGACCATGATCCCACCTTTATTTAAGATGCCGTAAATTCACACTGTGGAAAATTCATAAAAAAAATGTTCTTGAATTCTCAGACAGAGAAAGACTGAATACTGAAAACCCGCAATGTAAACTTGTTCTTTCTTTCGTACTGTACAATACTTTTAAACATGGCAGTTTTATTTTTATAATTAAATTTAAATCTTAACTTACATAATACTAGAAGAAGATAACGCGTATCTTCTTACGACTAGAATCTAGACTAGATTTCTGAGATCAATTCGAAAGCCAATTTCGACTAATAAATATTTGTTTTTTTTTTATTATATTAAATTAAAAATCTAATTTTTAAATCACTGTTTATCCTAATACAATTACTTAAGAGTAATTATTTACAATTGATTTTTATTTATCACGAAAAAAAAATAGATTAGAGAAAATTATAAAGGCATCTCATTGATTATTGCTCAATTTATACAAAGACATTTTACTTATAGAGATATTTATATTTTGGATTTTATAAATATTAATTACTTAAGTGTATTGTGTAGTAATTACTATACTATACCAAATTCCTAGCTTAAATTATAACACAAGAATTTCCGTGCAAATATTATAAATTTTCAATCAAGAACATGCAATAATTACTTCAGTCTGACTGCTTTGTTATTCTTGTTTATTTATATTATTTAATTAAGAAAATAGCATGCTTGATATTATTTATTTTAAATTAACATAAACTACTTACAATGAGCTACTAATATTGCAGAAATGTCCCACCTATTGTGCTCTACGCACTACTCGTACTTGCCCTAACCTACTCGAATTTGTAACTTCAATCGTGCTCTGATTTGCCAAAATGGGCAAATGTTTGCCATACAACGTCCTCATCTAGTTATATACTGAAGCAAAGTCGTTATGTCATGTATTTTTTTATTACACTTTTTTTGAAAACAAATAGAAAATTCAATAACGCTCTACCAGGATTTCATAAAAGGCAAAAAAGACGACAAGAAGAAGAATCTGTAATTAAATTTGTTCTTGTTGGGTTTTCTGAGACCAAAATCCCTGTATAAAACATACCGTTATCCCTCTAATTATTAAGAAAACATAGATCAAAATGTGTTTTTATTAAGCAAAACTTTAAAATTAAATAAATTTGGAAGTTTTTATAGGTACTTTAGTCATGTTTTTATATGCATTAACTAGATGAGGTCAATGTACTGCATCTTACGACTAATCACCAGAAAGTTGATTCGATGTTACTAAAATAACTACATAATAACAGTTTCTTTAGAGTTGTTTCAAATGTCCAAGAAAGATTTACAAATAAAAACTTTTAATTTCATAATTAACTTTGTAAATATAAAAACGTATCGTTAAGAAATCTATTATGTTCTTAACTAATACTAGACATTTAATCATTAAAATATAATCTTACTAAATAAGTAGCCATTACAAAACAAATGAATTAATTAATATTATATTAAATAAACTATATACTAAAACTAAGCCAAACTAAAAATAAAACTAAATAATATAAAAAATCGACCCCAAATCGCTGCGTTCGCACGGTAGGGTTCCCAAGAGGCTGGCGGCATTTCCCCGTTGAATGGCCGTTAAGTCAAATATTTAAAATTATTAGACTGTGTGATTGTTAATTTATGTTTTTAAAATTCGTAACATCGAATCATCATTCGAACCACACCATTGCAAAACTTATACGATCCAAGAAATTGTTGTTTGTGTGTTAATCGCCTTTGATTATGTATAAATCTATCTACGTACTTTACTACACTTTAATAATTACAATTTTCATTTAAGTCATTATATGACTATTACTATATAGTACTATACTTTATGCAATGACAGAAAGTAAATTATATATTAAGTAAATTATATAATACATATGTATGACAAATAATTAAATTAATCTACTGTTATTCATTTTAATCAAAAGACGAACAGACAGAAGAGCAGTCATTTTTTATATATAGGGGTTTGGAAATGCGATGAATTTAGATTAACTTATTTCTATATTTATATAATTTTCAGATACTCATAAACATTGGCAGTAAAGTTACTTGTGATATTACGATCAATATTTCTGATCACAGGCACTGATACTTGATTGCTTCATAACAGGAAGAAATAAAAACATGTCACACAAACATATTGCTGTCTTTGTTTTTTCAATATAAATGAGAGGGATGGCAGGATGATTTTCTTAATTTTTTTTGATTGTGGAAACCCAACATAAACAAAAAACTCGATTACGGGATAGGTACTAATAAAATGACAAAGTTCTCGCTAAAATTGGTCAAGTACTCTACTGACATTTATAACATTAAATACATAAAATTGCTAAATAAACTAAAATAAACTATTTACACTATGTCTTTACATAGTTGAATGATTTTGCATTACTAATATTTAGTACTCCGAAATGTTATATAATTATATAATACATATATTGCATGCGACTGTTCTTTAGTTTCTTAAACTGTCTTGTGCTTTGACTGCTTACAAATATTTAATCAGATGTTATCATTTGCTTGTAGCTGTCTTAATACAAAAATACTATTTACAAATTACTGTACGTTTCATGTACAAATTATAAAATGACTAGATACACTCATCCGTTTATGGCTTAGATTATTTACATGTTAAGAATACGTAATTGAATCTCAAATTACAAAATTACATAACTTTTGACAGAAACAAGAATAGGTTAATTAACGAATTCAAATTTATTTCTTGTTATAATATCAAAACAAAAATGTTTTCTTAAAACACTGGTCTGTACTAAAAACATAAAAGAATTATAACAAAGAAAGTTAAAACGAAAGTATAATACCGTAAAGTACAATTTTATAACAACAAAGATTAGCCGTACAGAACAATTTTTACAGATAAACAAGGAAAACGCATATAAAATTTAAAACAAATATAATCGTAAAATTTAATTAAGTGCATCAGTATCACATTGAAAACTGAAAGTTTCTTACAAAAGATAGCAATAAATTCAAATTGTCAAATTAATTTTATCTTATTTATGACTTATTGTGTTTTATATATTTAACAAAAATCACTAGCGTTACTACATATGTACACAAATCTATATAAACGGACACAATTTTTTCTCAGAACTGTACAATTATTTTATTCAAAAGGTTAGTAATATTTATGATTTTCCTCCTCCTTTAAGATGCCTCCGCACGCGTCTCTACGCGTCAAGATATCCGTTATGCAGAAAAGATGTTATTATATATTAGAAAAAATCGCACAGAAAAATGTGGATAGGATGTGTTAATGGTTGGACGGATTTTTTGTGTTATTGTATAAAATATTTCGGACTATTTCATTTTGTCGCAAATGATAGGCAGTCATAGTTGAATGTAGTCAAAGAGTTCCTAGTATATTTAATTTAAGGAATTCTTTTAATAGGATTAATTTAATAGCTGCATCAAGTAAAATAATAAAAAATCAAAGTTTCAATAGATTTTCATAGCGGTATACTAGCTTTTCTTGTCAATACGGATTCAATCTTCTCTAAGTCTAATGAAAATGAAATCTTATCAGTATAATACTTAGGGTTACTTCGACAATAAGTTCATGAGCTCCTCATAAATATCACTTAACTCTCAAAACTTCAACAGGATCGTGTCGTCCTGTATCACTGCCTTGCAGCCGTCAGATTGGTAATTACTGACGGACGTTGGCGCGGCTCAGGTACACAGCCCGGAATTGTCGACGAGGGAACGGGCCAATACATCGGCCGCGGCGATGTCGCTCACTTTGCCCTCGAAGTGACCTCGCACATGGAACATGAACTCCGCTTTGCCGGCAAACTCCTGTCTACACATAAGACAGAGGTGATGGGCATGTGTGTGCTGTCTTTCGGGGGCGTAGTGTGTGTGTCCGTGTGTGAAGTACGTGCCACCGCCACTGCCCTCGTTTACCACAGTGGCGGTCGACACGGAAGCAGTTGCTATCCCGTGCCCATTCAGTATCTGCTGATTTTGATTATGATGATGCAGCAACTGCAGCTTCTCTTGATTCGTTAAATGGACTTTTTCTTGTTGTTGCTGTTGTTGTTGTTGTTGCTGCTGCTGTAAGTAAAATATTAATTTTTAAGACAACACTTATTTTTTTTTTATTTTAATAATTCATCGAAAAGAGTACTTCAGTTCTTCTAGAGTTATAAACTCCAACTGACGGGACAGTCATATAAAACTGAAGAAGAACTGCAATTTCTTTATTAATCCATGACCATTGTGGGCATTTCTAGTTAGTAAGACATTAGTTTCTAAGTTCTTGCGGTCTCATACTGGAAGGTTTTTTCAAATGGTATTTGGCTACGTACTTGATGCGCCTGCATCTTATCCTGCAGGAGTTTGGTATCTGGCAGATGGGATTTGGCGTGTGCGCTCCACTCGTCTCTAGTGGCGAACAGTCGTCCGCAAAGTTCGCATGACCATGATACCACCATGCCCGCAGTAGCCGCCGCCACAGCGGCGCTCGCAGCACTCGTGTGCACCAGATTTGTATTCTGAAATTTTCGATTAATATTACGCTTTGTAAGAAAATTACGCTCTTGACTTCTATTACAGAAAGAAGTTTATTTTGATATGCAATATTTTATCACACTTTCCTTAAATAAAATATATAAATTAAGATCAAAAAGAGCGTTTTTATAGTCATTTACTGCAAGGATTGCTTGAATAATTCACTATGAAATTAAGAATCTAAAGGCAAAGTTTGTTCATTTTAATATATAAGGAGTTTACTATAAAATTTGGGTATTATGTTACATAGAACATACTTTATTTTTGCATAAACTAACTAAAACCAACAGTTAGAAGATAAACATGCACATTTTTTGTAAATTTGTACTTTCGCATTTATTTTAGAAACCCAGCAAATTAGTCCATGCAAAATGATACGGTTCTCCCATAATAATGCCTTTGCTGTCGTCTCCATAACTGAATTAAATAAAAAAATCAAATACTAATGTATTTCTCTATAGAGAAGTATATGATAGACATATTGACATCATGCAGACAGTTAACAAAAAAAAAACATGACCAAATATTCCTACCACAACATCTATTTCAACCATGCGTTGAATGTTCTTTGAGATTTACCGTAAAGTTGTGCCCGGGTACCTGGCAGACCTGGATCGCTTGTTGGTGCGTGTGTTGTTGCTGTTGTTGTTGCTGTTGTGCTACAGCCGCGATTTCTGCTTGACTAGGCTTTGTGTCCTCTTGTTTGGTTAATTGAGGTTTAACGTCATCTAATTTTAAAGCTGAGGAGAACGGTTATATTTTACTGCATAAATTGAATATTGAATCTTACTAATATTATAAATGCGAATGTGTAGATGGATGTTTCTTTGGAGGTATCTCCAAAACGGCTGAAAAGATCTCGATGAAATTTGGCATACATATAGAACATAGTCTGGAAGATCACTTAGGCTACTTATTATGTTTTTTTTTAATTCTGTGCGGACGGAGTCGCGGGCGACTGTTAGTAGTGATATAAATTATACATCAGTTATTTTACGAATATCTACTATTATTTTAGTTTTACTAAAGGAATTAGCAATTTAGATAATAAGTTAGATTAACTAATCTATGTATTGGAAACAGGCTATCGATAAGAAAGAGGACAGTATAACAACTAAAAAACAAGTGATAAGAATAAGGAATACATAATAGTTGTCTTTTCTACACTTTTTCAAATACTTACGTGGTATCGAAATCGAACGCTTACCCAATGGGGCAATATTGGATGGCGTTATGTGCTTCAATTTATTCATGTGCAGGACTAACTTGTCTCGTCGCGCGAATGCCTTGTTGCATACTTCGCATACGTAAGGTTTTTCACCTAAACATAAGATCATAGTTGTAACCAGTTATAATTGAAAGCAATAAGTGTATTGTTGCTTAAATAATCTATAACAAATTAATCTCAACAATAAAGATTATTTAAAAAAATACCTGTATGAATTCGCATATGTATCGTGAGTTTGTCTTTTCTAGCTAGTCCTTTTCCACAAACTGTACACTCGAATGCTTTGCTACCTGAAAATTATCGATATAATGAAGATTATCAAGTAAAAAATATCCATACACTTTGAAGAACTGCTAAACTGTAGTGGCCTAAACGTCGGCTACTATCTCAATTTTCGGCTTCATAACCTTACCTTCATTAGTAGAGCTGGTAGGTTTGATTGCAGGGTGTTTTCTCACGGTGCCCGTCTGCAGGGCTTTCAGCCTCGTTCCTGGGTGCATGGACCCGCCTTCTGCATATGGTTCCGTGAACGGTATTAGGTTTGGCCTAGGTATAGTGTTCGTCACTTCTGGTGACCTGGTGAAAACAAATTAGGTACATTCATGAAATCATACTAAAATCTGTACCTTTACTTTGTGTAGGTAACGATAAAGTAAAGATTAATAACTGTGCTACATTTTCTAATAACCTTTGTAAAAAAAGACTAGGACGTAAGGCAATATAATCAAGTACCCACCAGTTGCCAAGACTCTGTAGCACTCTGACACCGCCTTCGAAGCCCATGCCGACATCATCGGGCACAGTAAAGGTGCTGTCCGGACCTCCCGTGCTGGAACTCACTACTGGTACTTTGATGGGAGAGTTCATGCTCGCGTAGTGTTGGGTGGAGGTTACCGTAGGCGGCGATGGATGGCCTTGATGAGCACTACTAGTATTTTGAGCCTGCTGCGAAATACAGAAATATGGGTAAGTCAATAGTTGCCGAAGATAATAAACTTGTGTGTTAAGATAATGGACCTCTCTGTTAATTTAGGTTACATTGTAATTAAATGCATCGAAAAATACCTCACAGTCACTTTTTCGTCATTCACCTTTTTTTTAAATTAGACTACGTATAACTGTTTAAGAAGGGAACGACTTAAGGTCCTAACAAATGTAATTTGTGAGATTATTTTGTTTTTTTCATGTGGAATTGAAATTTGACTGTTCGTTGGTATTATCGAAAATCCTATTAAGGTACATACTTGCATTTCTTGATGATGGCGAGATGTGTTTGTTGAAGCGTTGTTTTGCTGTTGATGATGTTGCTGCTGCTGTTGTTGCTGTTGCTGTTGTTGTTGCTGTTGCTGTTGCTGCTGCTGCTGTTGTTGCTGTTGTTGTTGTTGCTGCTGTTGCTGCTGTTGTTGCTGTTGCTGTTGTTGCTGTTGTTGCTGTTGTTGCTGTTGCTGTTGCTGTTGTTGTTGTTGTTGCTGTTGTTGTTGCTGCTGTTGCTGCTGTTGCTGTTGCTGCTGCTGCTGTTGCTGCTGCTGCTGTTGTTGTTGTTGTTCACGTCGTGCAGCAGCAGCAGCTTGCGCCATGTGCTGTTGTACTGCCACATGGGCTTCTAAATACGCGGTCTTTTGCGCTTCTGTCATCTTATCCATATTCACGGTACCATCCTGATAAAAAAACATATTTTTTTATTTTAGCTGCACAGATGACCATTATTATCTTTAGACTAAATATTTTAGTATTTTTGAATTTCATTTATTGTATCAATATAAACAGTATCTTTGTTTCAGAGTAGTTTGGGATATCAAAATATCAGTTGCATTTTTATTTTAGCCCAGATTATTCATCTTAACGTTCACAGTTAAGTAAGTAAACATTTTGAAGAAAATTTGCATTATATTTGACTATTTTTTTGATCGTATTCTCGTAACATGGGGAGCAGCCTTCAATGGGTGTCTTCTATGCGGTCGGAGCCTCCCTAATGTCGCGCAAGGGTGGCCGCCCCCGCGGTGCATTCACCCCAGAGCGAACCCGGCTCCCCAGTTCCGTCGGCTCTCATTCCGTAACACGTAGTCAGAACACCCTATGCTTAATTGCCTAAATTCGACACAGGGAAGGTTCAATAACCTCGCGAATCTGGCAACAGTGTTGCGGGCGTTTTGTTTAAAAAGGGTCTTAGAATGTTCATGTAAGATCGACAAATCTTATAGCTGTTAAGATGAACTAATATTTTATTTTAATCGCATACCGTTTACGAAAGAGTCGGATGTAACCTGCAAGTTATTATCCTATATCTATAAAATGTTTACCGGTTAAAGAATGTAAAATAGATAGCAAAGTAAAATAGGTAGTAATGTCGTTTCGAAAATTCGCATTTTTTTAAGATAATTGAATATGCCCAGTCATGGTACAAAGGTAATATATTATCTCTTTATCACACTTTGTTTTATTGTTGATCGCAAATCTATATCACTAGATAGAATAAGGAATAAAAAAGAAATTATAATTTGATATAAAAAGATAAAATCACTGACTACTCGAGATAAAAAATCCGGGACTATAAAAGTAAAGGTGTTCTCTTTCTCCATGTAGTCTTTTAGTAGAGGATACGTAGAACAACGACTTTCATCCATCTGATAATCAGATAAAAGACTTCAAAAATTTAAATAAGCTTACCATGAATATTTTTGCTTAGCTATCGATTCGTCAGCCGCTTTGTTTGAATTTAAACTATCGTCCCCTCGCTCTGATAAGGACTAGGCAGGGGCCCATTCGTGCTTATCACACTGATTAAAAGTAAATGCTCCAAAACTAGGGATTGCGTGCGGAGTTTTGGGGTTACGCAAAATAGGGTAAAACATAAATGACTTCATATTTAGATAACTTAGATTTGGTTTTATAATTTTAGCGTTATAATAATGTCGTGTATTTCGAAAAGGGATATACTATTTTAACGATAATGATTTCTTTGATGTTTTAAATATTCTATAAATTTTCTTAACTAAAAGACGACTTGAGAATCAACTAATAGAATAGATAGAAAAAACTAACAAACGAAAATAATGATTTAAAATGTGTAATTAAAGATATATTTACTTTAAGCAAAAACAAAGTTTACAAAGTTACTTACTCATTCCACAACTTTTTTATATTTTCATTTCATTTTCAACTTTTCTTAAATAGAGTAATCCACTTTTCATGAAATAAAGTTTACACCACACGTTACTACTCGAATATTATAAAAAAAGTTCGTGGTAAAGGAAATGATTGTCTTGAAGGTTAAGGCGGGCGCCCTCCGCGCTTCCTATGTTCCGAGTGCAGCCTCCGACCGCGAGAGTCGTGCATCGATCGCACTTTCCTCTTCACATTGCACCTGAACTTCAAACGCACTTTGTAAGGGCTGCCCTTTGAGTGGAAGACTGCCTGTGTGGCGCGACTCCAAAATCTATCGTTGCATCGATGTTTAATACTTGCGTGATTTTGCTTTCACTTATGCGAAATGTGTTTTTGCAATACAAGTATGTTTATTTTATTTCTTTTTGTATTAGTTGTTATAATTACGTAAACTAAATATTTATTGTTAGATAATTTGTTTATGAAATGACTTGCATAGTTTTGATTGAAACAGGAAACGGAAACGGAACTACGGAAACTTTAAAATGTTTTTATCTACTTAATTCGATGTCTTTGAAGTCCAATGATGTTTTTTTATATATTTTTTTTCTTTATTTATACAGAACATACAAAATACACTTCCAAAAAGTTTTACCAATATTACGCTTTCTTTCATTATAGAACTAAAAACCGAAACAGTCTCTGTCGGTCTAATCAAAGACAAAAAAGACGGTTCAAAGGTGAAGTAAAGATGAAACGACTTTGTGATTACTGTAGACATCAGGTGAGGGTGGTTTGAGTAAGGAGTAAGAACACAGACTGTTTTTTGATTACTGTAACATAGAGACTTGGAAGTTCAGACAAACGAACCGAAGAGTCTCTTATACTGATGTAGATAGTACATGGACATGGCTTTCCGATAAAAGAACTAAGATTTTCTAGTTCGATTTAATACGTAAAGTACGAATTCAACGTATTTGGATAGAAACATCAACACTTTGAATCATTGATTGTTGCTTTTAAATGATTCAAAACTATAAAACAATTAGAACGAGGTTACATACTATTAATAATATGGTAGTTAGAAATATACAGAAGCCGGATCGGGTCGCAAATAATCAAAAAATATTTTCATTGCTAGAGGAATTAACTTGAACGGTAACAGTGTGAGGTCTAGACTATCTCTACCAGCTTTTCTCTCATCGTAGGCTATATTTAGCGCATTCATCAGTCGGTGTGACGAGTGGAGAAGGCTTCAAACGTTTCAGTGCAAGTGATGTTCAGGCGGGGCGAGCGGGCGGCTGGGGGTAGACGGGGGGAAGTGGGGGGCAGTGGGGGAGGCAGTAGTAGGAATATCCTTCACCCCGCGCTAGGTCAGGGTTAACATCACCCCCGGGCCGTGACGGTGAGCCCCCGACCTTGGATTCGATGCGTGTTAATGCACTTGCAACTCTGCCCACCTCACCTCATCGCCTTATCGCCTCCCTGCCTGGCGGGCGACATTCGCTATGCTGCTTTCCTCTTTATACTGAACGTTTACATCCGAATTACAAACAATATTACATCGATATCAACTATATAACTTCCCTGTTGACTTTAATAATAAAAAGTTATCTGATGAGCTAACAACCAATATGTCATCGTTAATTTTTATCTCTACTGGTATTATCACAGTTAGTAACAAAGTACATTATATCGATTTATGAATCGTGAATAATAGATAGTCTCGAAACAAAAAGAATCCAAAGTACATCGGAACATGCGTGGCCAGTACGAAAATACCGATATTCTCTGCGCAGAGCTCGTCTGCCGGCCTTAAGGCTATCGTGTTAAAGTAGATAATTCATACAGCTATCCGCGAACTTTAGAGATCGTGTACACTTAATAAAGACTCCTTTCTACTTATTTATTAGGTTCCAAATTGTTTGACTCAAGTGTTGTCTAGATGTGGATAATGATGAAATATTTTGGACCTTACTTTTTATGAGCTAAGATTCATATTCGTGTGCGTAAGAGAGGTGGACACTGAGTCGATACGAGACAGGCGCGTGTGGATCGATAGAGGGTAGGGCCGCGGACCGTCGTTGTCGCCTTGTTTCGTTAATACATTCACCATAATACATTGTTCATCTTTTAATTTATCATCTCAAAATATCGTGTGCGAATAATCGATATGAGAATTAATATTATTTTTTTTTTGTTTTTAATGTCATGTTACTATTTCTGAGAGGTTAATAACTCTTATGTTACTACTTGCATTTATCTTTACAACGAGCGAATAAGATAAACAAATTAGAAATAAGTTAAAATATCATAATTTGTATGTAATTAAAGAGTTATTGAAGCGTAATTTCTTAATTTTTTTACTTTATCAAATTAAAGTAATATAAAAGGTCTTAGTTTAGGTAGGCAACGCCCTAAACAAATGTGTATTGATTATACATCGCTTATTGTAAAAGGGCAGTTATGTTCTCTATTTTCTTAGTGGTCTTTAGGAATATATAATGCGTACGGAAGTTTTTGTACATATATCTAATCAATGACATTATTTTCTATTATCTATAAATTGATCGCATTACATGTATCAATTTAAAAGGATAAATCCGTAATATGATAGTTAACTGAAAGATAAAATTTGATAAGATTCCTAGCTTACGTGAAAAAATATAATGATACAAAAATGATAGGAAAAACTATAAGTTAACTAAACATCGAATTAAAAATCAATGATATTCATGTTCTTGTTCTTATTCTATGTATATCGACATGACATCATTTTAATTTTTTTTTAAATAAAGGTCGACCGCGACTGTATAATGCCAACCGCAATAAATAAATCAAAAATTTATCCACTACGGTAATAGACGTTATCTACTCCCGCTTTGTCGCTACTTACAATCTAAAAAATCTTACAAATGGTAAACAAAAAGGAAATCTTCTTCCTATCAAAAGAAAGTGGATTACCTTATTAAGATCCTTTTTGTCACTAAGCAACTATTGGCGCGGAAACGCTTTATGTAGAGCAATGTTTGAATAAGAAATAGTGTTGGCGGGTGATCCGATTGATGGAAAAAGGGGTTAAGTAATGTTAATAATATTTACCTGAAAGTTGATAGTGGATGTTACAATGCGCATGGACTCGGCATAATTCCTCAGCACGGAGTCTGTAGCGAGGCAGCTTTGTCTCCACTCGTAAAGTTGCTCCAGCCGGCCCACGCACCGCTCGCAGATCTTCTTCGGCAGAAAGTCGTCCTTGGAGATCTGCTGGATGGACCGCATTATCACTAGTTAGACTATCTGGAAATGTTACATTGCCATATCCACTTAAATATGGTTTAGTCAACTCTTGCTGAAGATGTACACTTTAAGTCAATCACTTAAATATAAATAACCAACTGACAAATATAATTTTGCAACTATTATTATTTCTTCTGTCTTTATAGCCAGAAGTCTGTCTACGCTACACGAGAATTAAAATTGCGGTTAATTGTTAGTTAATCGCAATTGATCGCAGTAGAGTTTTGATATTGACAACCAGATAAATAAAAATAGGTTTTATGTTATTGTTAGTTTCAGCATGTCTCAATTAAAAATATACCCGATAAACAAAAGAATTGTTGATTATCATTGATAAAAGAGCTTGCTATTAGCAGAGGTTATTTTATAACCCGTGCAATATTTTCAAGTATGTTTATTTATAATAATAAAACAAACAATCAAACGTCTTCTCTTTGTAACATACTGGAACAACATTTGGATGAACATAAAGTTAAAAGTCGTATTCACAAACGTTTTTTATTCAACGGGTGCGCCATTTTCTTTTGCTCTAGATCCATAAGAGGCTAAGCATAAATCTGAAAGTTATTCAACAGGTATCGTGAGTTGATTAGCACGGGTGATGTCGGCCGCCTTCGTAGGGCCGTGTAGCGCCACGTAGAGCGCACGCGCTACGCCGCTACGGCTACTCGACGCGACACTCGCTTGTGATATCATTACACTCTGCTCTTAAAGACTCTGTTTATACTATGTGAACCCAACTTAATATATAATTTGCATACTTAATTAATACACCATATCTTAAATTGAAGTAAATATGTTCCAAAAAATAAAATACAACTCACCATAGTGGGCAAACAGGTCCGAAGTTTGAAAAGGATCTGCCTTTGCTCGGACTCCTTATCGAAGATATGGAGCCTCGGGCCGCTCTTGAGCGAGCACAGCCGGCAGAGGTCGGTGAACGCGGTGAAGTTGAGGTCCTCGGGCTCGGTCATCGCGAAGCACCTGATGAGGAGGTCGAGAAGGCAGGAGTTGTCCATGTGTACGGCGATGTCGGGTGGCGGGAGACGGTCAGCGACGCATGCCGCGGGTGCACTCAGGGAGGCGTCACGCCACCGCTGCGTCCGGGGGGCACTGGGGCCGGCGCGCGCCTCCCCTCCCCCTAGCCCCGGCCCCGCTCCCCGGACCCCCGTGCCCCCGTCAGCCCCCTGCACCCCCGCGACGGAGCGCGCGCGCTCGGGGTGGCTCGGCCGCGTCGGAAAATGCGTGCCAGTTTTCCTCAATGCCGACTGCAATCGGCGATTGTTCGTATTGATTATGAGTCTTTATCCGCACTACAGCTCAGAATAATGACCTCGCCGATTGCGATGGATTCTCTTCTCTTAGTAATGAAGATTTCTAATCTGCAAAATATTTCGCAAATGTTTTAATTTCAGTTTAAAGATAAAAATGTTTATAAGGGATACTAATTGATCTTTTTAAGATATGAATGCGTAATACGAAAACATACTAAAATAATCATAAGAGATTTTTTGCATTCGTAAATACCTCCTTTGTTCTTTTTATGTTAAAACTTTATAGTAATTTTCATTGAGTTGCGTTTTAACACGACAATGTCATCGATTTTATGTTTTTAAACGATATTTATTGACGTTTAGCGTCGTACGAAATAAAATTTAAATTAATACGCTTATAAATAATATTTAAATATGTCCGTAGGCTCGTCTGACTCCGACGAAGAGTTCCAGTCGTATTCTGAGAGGACCTTAGCCATCATTAAGCCAGAAGCCTATGAAGATACCGAGGCTATTGAGAATCACATTAAAAATCATGGATTCTCCATACTGGCTGTGAGTACATTTATATATTAAGTGTGTGTTTAAATTTGATAAAGAATGCAAAAGCAACATTACGCTTTTTATTCCAAAATTTTTGTGTAACATAAACATATTTATTATTTAATTTTTACTAGTTTAAAAGCACATTTAAACAATTTAGATTTTAAAAGACACACCTTTCCTTTATTTGTTATCATTACACAGACTTTTTTGTTACCATCTTATTGAATTTGTTGAACCTTGAGAAAAACGTTTTCCTATTGTAATTAATAAGATTAGTTAAAAGATTTTAAAATATTACATTTCAAAACTTTGTTTCTTACTATAATGGAATTTTGTATTTTTTCTTAGCATTCATCTTTAGGCCGGAAAAATGGCGGCTGAAACAATGAATAAATTTTAGTACATTCAGTCCTTTGCACCCTGAAGGGTAGGGTGAGGTTTGGGGCGTACCGTCCCCTCTTTTATTAAAATTACAAAAAAGATGAAAGTGTCGAGTTTTGCTATTATTTTCATTTGAATATACAAAGTCCCGTCCAATTAATTTATTTGAATTCTTTTAATTTTAAAGTAATAAGATTAATGGTTTAGAATGTAAATTTTATTTGATAAATACCATATTATCAAAATGAATTAGAAGATTTCTAACTACAACTTCTTAACGTGAGTACCGAAACAGATATTTCAGCAAAAGTACTAAACGCATAACCATTATCGAAGTTCGAGACTTATAATCAACACATGTTTTTATAAGTCTGAGATTTCTTAGGACGTAGGTTATTACATTGCAAAGATCAATCGGCATTCATTAAATCTGAGCTACATGGTATAGACAGGGCACCCTCAAAGGGAGCACAAAGAGCACCGAATGGACGGTGGCGAAGGGTTACTATATGCAAAACTCATATCAGAGCCGGCGGGCGCACGCTCGTTATTACGCGTCACAAACAACCCTCGTGCTTAAATATTAATAGGGTTGACACTTGTTTGATAGAATTAAAAGTTATTTTTTGTTACCGAATTTCTTTATTGAACAAAAATTGTTATAATGTTTTTTTGTCTGTCTGTCTGCAACTTCGCGTTTGTTCATGATATTCTCCTATTCTGCTGGACCAATTTTGACGGGACATTTACTGACAGGTAGCTCATTTTTGCAGTCGTAGCTAAAGTTATTTTTTCTTCTTCCACTCTGACGAAGTGGTGGGTAACGTGGTAAAATAAGGAACAGAATCTTTGCGACAAAATATGTTACTAATGCGTGTAGCAGGTCATTATGCATGTTAAGTCGAAGTATTCAAAAAAATCTAATAACATACGCCATATAATATAAAAAAAATTATTTAAATAATTAATCTATTAAAATATACAACCCTAGGTACACGATAGATCCTCGAGCTCCCTATCTCTCTGCGAGCGGTCACTGCTGTTATCTGTGGATACCATACAAAAAAAATAATTAAACATTCCTTTTGACGTTTGGAGTGGGGTGCACGTGACAGCCCTGCGCACGACACTAATAGGTTGTTTCTATTAACGATGACGTGGAAATTGGCGACAAAACCATTTCTAGTCTACCTTTAGACCTCACTAGTTTGCATCCTTTATTTTCTTAGCCTATACATTGATTAATTTCATATATACCTATACGACATAATATAAGTTACATTGCCAAAGGTGATTTTGTATAACAAGACAAACTAACAAAACTATGTTTTTCTTTGGCTTAAAGGAAAAGTAAGACATTCCTTACGCTCCGCTTCACCAAAAAATGTGTGGTTCTATGCGATGTTCTGAAAAGATGTTTGATTCTTTAATACGTTTATATATAGAAACGAGAAGTACGTCTAACGCCGGAGCAGGCGGCGGAGTTGTACCGGGGGCACTACGGCCGACAGCACTTCCCGCACCTCGTGGCGCAGATGTCAAGCGGGCCCATCGTCGCGCTCGTCCTCGCTGCGCGTAACTGTATACAGAAGTGGCGTAACCTCATGGGACCTGCTAGGTATACAATGTTTTATACATGGGAATATTAAGCCTTGTAGGGTAGGGAATATGTTGAAGCTAGAACGAACACGAGGCGTTCATCGACTCGCCCTGGGCGAAGATTTAGTAGTTTTAGTATAAAAGATCCAGTCTAAGAATCTGCTAAAGTGATCGTGAAAGATCTCCGAGTCCGGCCGTAAGTATCAGGATATTATTTTATATTTTATTGTGATATAGAGTGGCGGAAGCGCAGGCATATTGGCCGGACAGTCTCCGCGCGTGCTACGGCCGCCGCACAAAGTACGGCGACTACTTCAACGCGCTCCACGGCAGCAAGGAGCACGCGGAAGCCTTGCGAGAGATACACTTCTTCTTTCCCAATAGTTTGTATATATTGTAAACAGAGTTCAACGCTAAAATATTTTATAAATTAAAACTATTGAAGGTTATAAACAAATTTATGAACTAGTTTGTATTTTAAGAGGCTTTCAATTTACAGTGATCGTTGGGCCTTTACTTCGGCACATGCAAATAAACGATTACATACAGAAACATTTGGCGCCAACATTGGGGCCAGGGCTCGCGGCACTAGCTAGAGAGCGACCAGCGGAGCCGATACTGTGGCTGGCGCAATATTTACATAGAAATAACCCCAACGAACCAGAAATGGGGCCGCCGAGTCACGAAATAAGGGATGACTATAGATGCCATACTCCTGTTCCTTCAGAAATATAAATGTTACTTTGTATGTCTACATTTTTTATAGGTTGGTATTACCAATACTGAAAAGCTTGAACTTATTGTTTTATTAAATACATGTATTTGTTGTCTACATTTTCCGGTTCCCTTTCATTGTCATCATCATCAGCTCACTATATGTATCCCCATTTAGGCCTACCCTAAGTTAGGGGTGACTAGGCCATAGTCAAGCACGCTGGCCCGGTGTGGGTTGGTTGACTGCACACGTATCTTTGAATTTCTTCGCAGTTATGTACAGGTTGCATCATGATGTTTTCTTCCGCCGTAAAAACGTCGGATAAACGTACATATGTAAATCGAAAAACAACATTTGTACAAGGCAGGATTCGAATCCAGGACTTGCAGATTACAAGGCAAAAGCATACCTCTTGAGTCACAGACGCTCTTCATTGTACTTTTACTAAATAGGTTGAGGTAGGAGGTAGGAGGTTGTACAAAAATAAAAGACCAATTTACTCCCAAACTTTATTTACGGTTATAAAGAGTGTTATCACAGGCTAACGTGTGTCATATAACAGATATCGTTGTATACGGAGTGAGAGGCGCCATGATTAAATTTCTTACGTCTAAATAAAAATGCTACAACTTTACGTCACAACAAAACATTTTTCACTGAGAAACTTAAAAACTATTAACTTGTTCAAATTACAATTAGAAAAATTGGAAAACATTTTAGTATTCGGTTACAAAAAACATTTGGTAAAAAGGTCTAAATATTAGAGATTACGAATTTCCTCCTAATGCTCTAGAAAACTGCTACAACCTGCAAATAAAACATTGTTATTAAAAAAATATCATCGTTAAGCTTTAGTCTGCAATTTTGGCACATTCATAAGTGAATAAAATGTTCTATCTTTTAGACCCCTATTTAACTAGCCCGACTGGTATGATACGTTGTGTCTGTCATTTCCACTGGTGCAATTGGCTAGTTTCTTAGTGGAAAAAGGGTGTAATAGAATACATACAGCTCAGTTGCGAGGCTGCGGCGTCTGCATGTGGACGTACGCGGCGCTGCGGTCTGAACAGAGGCCGATCTTCTCGCAGACACCTTTGGTGCCGAGGTCCTCGATCAGGTGGATGATGCTGTCCCCGTACACTTCCATCAGAGTGTGGCACTGCATCAAATACATATATGAATTAAAAACAAACTTAGTAATCTATGTATTCTCTCAGACTATGCTCTACATTTGTAACATCACCGAGATCCGTTAATCCGTTCTAACCATTCGTATTTATAAAATTAGTAACATAAAGTCATGTTCTCATTTTAAGGAATATAAATTACAAAATCGTTTTTAAACAGCTACTAATACTAAATTCAGATTATAATAAAAGTCATGAAATCCGGTCCTAAATAATTTAGAATTCAACCAATGTGTCTGTCTCTCTCAATTGCGCTGCACTCATCCTTATAGATGGATAGGTAATTGCTAGGAAATCACAGTTTTGCTTTGTTCGACAGTTCCTGACAGTTGTCTGTTTTTAGTTCCAATCCTCACCACCACTGTAAACCGCAACAATCAGCGC